CAATGTCTGCAGAGCTCTACCTGAGAGCTTTGGAGTAAAATAATGGATCACCTTGAGTGTAATTTATGAGTAAATCTAGGTGAAGGTCAGTGACAGAAGCCCATTCAAACCTGCCGAAATTACACAGAAACCCAATATAGCTCATCCTCTCTGCCCTTCCCACGCTCTTAAAGAGACACTGTCATCTCAAAAATCTGTCACACAAATGCCTCTGAAAGGACACAGCCTGTTTACTATGCATGCACTCACCTGCGAGGGCCTTGATGCGCGAGCGCTCAAACAGCCGGGCTGAGCTGTTGTCATTGTCTAGTTCCTCGTCAGTGAGGTCGAAGCGGGTGTTGATGTGGCTGTACTGCTGCGTGATCTCCGCATTGTCAAAGTCTGTGGTGGAAGTCATGGCGGTAGCCAGCGTGGCAAGCGGGTGAGGGGACGGCGGTCGGCGTCCTCAGGTGGTTCTGGGTGTGTGGGGAAAAGAGTGGTGGGGACGAAATGGCAGGATGGACCTCGAATACTGGAGGTAGTCTGAAGAAGAAGGGGAAAGACAGACAGTAGAGGTGTTAATATGATTGATTATGATGATTAACTGGGGTTCAGCACGTACATGACTGAAACTGAGACTTCTTTAATAATAAGTTATATCAGAAAAGTACATAATTGAGGAGAACTAAGAGGTTTAAAATCCCCCTTCACTCAAAAATATGTTTCTCCTTATTGGTATGACACTTTGATGTTTGACCTTCACTGTGCAGAATGATGAATGTGCAAAAGTTTTACACCAGACGGCTGTTTTCACATTCATCTGCTGTATACTGCTCAGTGATTCTCTATTCCACAGGATACTGCAGCGTAGGGCTGCAACAATTAGTCAATTAATCACTTAATCGATACACAAAAAATCAATTGTCAACCTTTTGGGGATTCAATTCATTATTTTACAAGCAAAAATCCCTGAAATGTGATGGTTCCAGATGAGAATTGTGAGGATTTTCTGCTTTTTTTGTCCTACATTACAGTAAATGTGGGTTTTGGACTGTTTGTTGAAAAAAACAAAACATTTGATGACATTGATTTGGCTTCAAGGACATTGTAATGTACCTCTTTCAGTGTTTTCTGATATTTAATAGACCAAACGATGAATCAGTTATTCAATGAATGAATTCAATGAAAATATTCATTAGTTGCAGAACTACTGTAGGGACAAAGCAAGAAATGGATGCTGACTTATAAATCCAATTTTGTCTGCGCGGAGCACTGTCTCACTGCAGTTTAGTTTGTATTTTGGTGTTAAGTTTCAATGTATCAATCCCACTGCCGAGGGACTGTTTCTACGCTTGGCTTAAGAAATGTAATTTTGGCAATTTGAAAAAATCTATGTGATCACAGATGTGGCAGAAGTATATTTTCACACAGAAATCTCACCTATCATAACTTTCACATTCGCCCCAGAAGCTCCTGTGCCTGTCATAATCTCCATTTTGTGTGTGTCACTTTGCTCAACTGTCACCCTGCACTAGTGTCTGTGTTTTCTTTGTGTGGAATGGCGGGTTGAAGGGTAACCGCTCAGATAGCTCTATCTGGGTGCAGCATAGCTCTCTTATCACGCTTCACAGGGGGAGGGCAACCCCTCTGTACTGCAGAACATGACGAAACCACCTTCTTTTGAATGATGCAGCTCACGTAGTTTGAACTGCGAGCGTGAGCGTGTGTTTGCGCAATTCCGTTGATGTGTATTTGTGAGAATAAGGAGGTGAAGTAAGGCGGGGGAATCCAACTTCTGTAGTACACAAAGAATAGAGACATGACAGTGTCCTCATGTGGCACTGACTAAGAATGCATACAACAATTGCTGAATATACATATTTTTCATATCAGAGATTTAAGAGATGACATTAATACTAAAATTAGAGATAAGGCAAATGATTTACATTTATTCTACTTGCACATTTACTCAATTACTGTACTTACTGTAACTACAATTCTGCAATGCATGTATAATACTTGAGTATTTTCATTTTATGCTATTTATAGTGGTGCTCCAATACATATCGGAGGGAAAATATGATGTACAGCTACCTCAAAATTATACTTAAGCACAGTATTTGAGTAAATATACTACTTTGCCTCTGCTGACATTCATTTCTCAATGAGACCACAGAGGATGTTTCTCCGGTGCATTCAGAGAAGGGGCCCTCGGTGATGCACAATGATGGCATCCTACAGGTCTCCAATATCAGTCCTCTGCAGGCTCCCGTTATCAGCCCGGGGATGCTCCACCCACCACTGGGGATCCCCTTATCACCTCACACACAACCTGGACGGGACTACTGCACAACTGCGCAAACCTTCCTTACACACTGTACAAACCCGTATCCACAAACTGTCAGCTGCATACAAAACCTGTAAGACTCTAATCGTGTCGAAGGACTGACTGACTGTAAGCTGCCGAATACAAACTGCAGCAAATTGTGTGTGTGTGTGTGTCAGCCGAGGACTTACTCTCAGTGATACTGTGCTAGGCTCCTCTCAGAGCCGCCTGGCCTCCTGCTTATAGACAGGCCTGTGACATAAGGTTCACTGCCTGCCACAGCAAGAGTGTGTCTGTCAATAGTGAGGCGTCCTTTTGTGGCGTCCTTGAGTGTCCTGCTCACTCACAGGAGGTCACCTTGTTAGCGTTTGGTTTTTGCAAAGCAGAATAAAAGTCTAAAAATCTCTAATAATATGCTGTCACTGATATTAAGTGCTGAGCGAGTGTATCGGTGGGCCAAAACAGTACCTGTGCACCATTAAGGTGGCTGAAAAGTGACTCTAACACAGTGGTTCTTAACCTTTTTAGTGTCAAGGACCCTCAAGTTGACACACATCAGGCCGCGGACCCGTATTTGATAAGATATAATCTCCAGGATCCCCGTCAGATAAGATTCAGTTATTCCATAACTGTCTATACTGTAGATTGGCAGATTAACAGTGAAGAGTGTGAACAGAAGAGTCACTCTTACACACTCTCTGTGGGGGTCCCCGGACTCCAGGTGGAGAACCATTGCTCTAAAAGAGGGTTGTCCAGAATCATTACTGAAAATTGTTTCCATTAGAGCTGCAACTAACAACTGTTTTCATTACCTCCTAATGTTTTGATTATTTTCACAATTACTTTACTAATCCGTTTTAAACAGGTAAAATAATGGAAAACAAGAGTCCACAAGCATGCTAGCAGCTCTGCAAGGCTGTACTCGGGCACAGCAATGCTTCGGGCTAAATGCAAACATGCTCACAAGACGCTGATAGTATAATGTTTACTATGTGCACCCTCTTAGTTTAGCATGTTAGCGTGCTAAGATTTGCTAATTGGCACTTAACACAAAGTACAGCTGAGGCTGATGGGAATGTCATGATGTTTGCAGGTATTTGGTCAGACACCAAATTCAATCATCCTCTGGGAGTCTATTATGAGAATCAATCAAATAATTCTTTATTATTTATATATTTCAGTCTGGACCGAAGTGGTGGACTGACCCGCCAACAGACTGACCAACACTGCCATCCCTACAAACACTAACATGGATAAAAAGCGAAAGGAAAAATGCCAATTACAAGTTCCAACAGCCCAAGTTCTTGAAATTGCATGTTACATCCAAATAACTGTGCAAAACCCAAAGGATTGCAATTTACAATGATACAAAACAGAGAAAAGCAGCAAATATAACAGTTTTCCTTCATAAATAACTTAAGCGATTCATTAATAATCAAAATTGTTGACCATTAATTATACAGCAAATGACTTTAGATTAACCAGCGCTAGTTTAAATGTTGGTAATGTCCCAAGTGCATTATAAGTCATATTATTACTGTTACCATCGTGACGCATAAATCTGATACGAGTTTGATATTACATATTTTGCTATTACTGGCCTCTGTTGAAACAAATGATTATAATACGTTGGCACCCCTTATAATTCTTTCTATCGCCTATAGTAGATAAAGTCCTTTGCACATGGTCCAGTAAATATAACATTTTTTATAGCTGCACATTGAGAGCTGATGAGTAATGGGTTGCTGGATAATTTCTCAAAAGTCTTATAAATGTCAAGAGAGATGATTAAAATGTCGGCTGGAATTTCTCCAGATATTCAAGAGCTGCTTGGCCTCAGAAAAAAAAAAAAAAAAGACACATTACATTTATTTTTATCATGACTCATGACGCAGTACAATAATGAGATATGAGCTCTTAAGATTTGCTGAGTTTGAATATAAACAAGACAATTCCTTGTTCCCGAGGTATGAAAGAACTTTTCTTTGATTACATTTCCGCTGCTTGAGATTTTAACTGACTGCACTTATTCCCTCCTTTGCTGCTACTGCAAAAAGCTACACTGTAAACAAATATGCACAATGCAAACATCGAATCAGCCCCTGAGATGAATAATAACTCTGAAAAACCATGCTCCCAGCTGTAAGCAAACTCCTTGTTGATGCACGCCGAGGAGCAGCAACACATTAGCTGGCGAGGAGGGAGTGCATTATTCTGAGCAGTCATATGGAGAGGGTGAAATAAGAGATGGGTGTGGTCAAGATGTGACCTACAGTGTGTGTGAAACTGTAGCAGCAGCAGCAGCAGCAGTAACTGGACTGAGGAGAGGGAGGCCTGTGGTCCAGCAGAGAGTAAATCTGAGACATGAACACAAAGTGGACAGAGATCAATATGGAGGGAGAGGAGGGGCTGCTGGTTACTGGATTGAGTGACCATCAAAGACTGCAGCCCTAACTTCCTCCTCAGACTGCCAATATCAACGTCAAACTAACTACTACAGGAAGAATAAAGATCCTTACATATAAGGAAGAAGATGGTGGAAGTTGAGCGTAAACACACTATGTTTAGCATAATCCATACCGTACATTGATTATGTACACAAGTTGTGAAAAAAGGCTCCTTTTGTTGTGGTCAATATTGTTTTGACTGCAACAATACCGAGCCTGATCTTGTGAGAGGTTAGAAGGAATCGATAGTAAACTATTCCTGGAGTGTGTTTACAGAGAAGTCCCTGCTCGTCCAGACACAGCGACAAACTCACACTTTGTCCTTTTAAGGGGCATGAGGAGGGACGTCTCTCCTGCTCAGGGAACAATTTATTTCTTTGTTACTCAAGAAGCCCGCCATACAGTTCAATCACGGATGGAACGCGAACTGTTATGTGATCTAAGAAATAAATTGAGAAAATGTGCAGCTGTGGAAAGTACATTTACTCAAGAACTGGAGTATAAATCTGAGGTACCTGTTATTTCCATTTTATGCTCCTTTAAAATTCTCCTCCACTTCACCTCAGGGGGCATTACTGCACATTTTACTCTACTACATTTATTGAACATGTTTAGTTCCTAACCACTGCACAAAATAGGTATTTTACAACAAAAATACATAACATTTATGCACTGTTATATATAAAACTATCCCAAAAGTTTATAAAATACTTAAATATATATAAATAAGCAACCTGTAAAATCCTATTTAGACATTAAACAACAGTAAAATAATAATAATGTGACAAAACACTCATTTTCACGCTGTTTGTCATTAGAAAACAAAACTTTTTGGAAAGCGCCTCTCCGGGCGCAACATGCGCAGTGACGTCAATTGTGCGACTTTCAACGACCCGCGCCGCGTGCCCAAAGTGCTAGATAACAAACTGAATATAAAAAAATAAACGACTAAATTCAAATTCAATTTATAGCAGACCACAGTTAATTTAACAATAGATAATTAAAGTTCTGAAGCTTTTCAAAACGACGTCATTGTTAAAATGGCAGCCCGGTCCAACAGGTGGTTGAGGCAACTTTTTTTATAACCTCACTTAAAAAGGGCCGAAACAAACAGCAGACTAAATGGAACGAGCGCCATTGAAAAGTGATCCGGTGACAGAGAACTATTTGTCCAAAGAATCAATAATTTCATTTAAAATGGGCACAAGCTCTGCCTTTCAAATTTGCACTTACTTGCTTCTGGATGTCGTCCTGTCCGAAAGTGTTTATCTTTGAGCCTTCTCCTGCCCCCAATAAAGATTACAACCCATTGAAGGGCGGGTCCTGGTCAGAGTGGGACAGGGTCTCCACAGCGCGAGGAGGCGGCACGGGACTAGGAAAGGGGCTGAAGGCGCCGCGCGCATCCACGGTCATTCCCAAAGCCAGCGACTTTGACCCACCCTCCGGTTTACCCAAATAAAAGTGGGCGAATCCAGTACATGATCTGTGGGCAGGGGACGGACCATTCTGACAGACTGGTGACTCTAAATGGCAGAGACACTTCTGATCTCCTGTGTACCCCCCCCCCACCTCCTCCCCTCCCTTCCACCCGCCCCGACGGGGCTCCTAATCGCACACACACACACGCCACCCGCCCGCAAGAGCCCTTCAGAATGTCACCTCTGCTCTGCGTGCCATTTAACGGGCAGTGGCAGAAGGAAGAACGGGTCTGGACACGGAGAACGAGCCCCTGCAGAAAGAGCTCTCGCTTTGCACAAGGATTCCATCAAGTTACAGAGAGCTGTCAGTGGTTGGAAAGTAACTGAGTACTTTTACTCGAGTACTTTACTCTAATATTTAAATTTGATGCTACTTTATACTTCTACTCTACTACATTTCAGAGGGAAATCTTGTACTTTTGAACTATGAAAAGCTTATAAAATAAAACCCTTTGTTAAAAATGAAAGCAGTGGTTCCTAACTTTAACTTTAACTTTTGTCCAGTTGGGGGCCTGCACCAAAAAGTGATTTCACTGCAGACGGTTTAAATTAAATTACTTTTTCCAAGATCCCAAATTGCCCAATATTTCACAAATATTAAAGAAAACTCACACTAGCTCCACTTTAAAATACAAAAAAAACCTACATTTACATTTAGTTAAGGAGTATATTTACATTTTTGTATTGATATTTTTACGAAGTAAAGGATCCACCACTGCCTGTCAGATAATGAAAACTAAATTGTGAGACTGGCTATTTTTAGTTGTTTGAGAAGTTGACTGACTCACTTAGTGCAACAGATTATTTGAGTTTTTAGATGTTTTGCAGAATGACAGAATCTAGATCACCTGTATGTTGAAATAGACCGTTTTAGAAGTTATACAATTTGAGATATTGCATGGTTACATACTGTAACTGTGTGGACTAATAAAACTAAATATTTTAGGTATAGACTGCTTACACTAAGGTCTAAGTATTGTTCCATCTTTCAATATCAGTGCTGATATACTGCCTGATTTACAATATCAAAACGAAAAAGATGAACAGCTTTTTTTCCATTTAAGAAAAGGGTTAAAACTTTTCAAATATTGAAAACAAAAGTGTTAAATAGTAAAATAAATAAGTAAAATAGGTAAACAAGAGTTTGAATCTGTGCAAACATTAAAATGTCTGTGCTCCAGACACATTTCAATCAGCACCAAAGATACAAAGGCTCAATATCCAGCCCTTCTTAAACGGGATAATTCTGGGAACAGAACATAAACAAATGATCAAGAAAAAAGGAAAAACAACAAGTCACTTAAAATATGCATTGTATTCATAACAAAAAGGCCAAACACACAGGCCAAATAACATCTTATTAGCAACAGGAAGCAGGGTGTTTATAATAAAAATACATTTACAACAAAACATAAATAACAAAAGCTTTTTACACAATGAAATGAGCACCTACAATATAGACAAGAAATCAGTACAAAAAGTTATCTCTGTGGTTCTTCACTCTGTGTCTTACGTATTTTTGTCTCTCTTTGGTTCCCCTGGGAACGTCTTTAGTCCCAAACTGAGCGCTGCAGCTGCAGTGCCAAAACAGTCCTGAACCTTCAACTACTGTAAATAATATGGCTTCATATCTGGATACAGCTGACCCAGCTTTGACTGAGAACAGTCGCGCCTTTGATCAGCTTCTGCATAGTTTCAACACTGCACAAACAAAAAACAAACCAAAAAAACCCCCACATTAATAAATGCATTAACAGTTTTGTGCAAGAAGCCGTAAAAAAAACACAGCACCGTGCTTTGCTTATAAAAAAAACACACAACCATAAAACACATTCAACAGCATTTCAAACAGAAGGCAAGAGGAACTAAATAAATATGACACACTTCAGAAACAGGTGAGATCAAAAGGCCTTAAAACCTAAAAGCTTATGCAGATTTGGGGTACCATATTGTGTCCATATCTTACTTTAGCTTCAGCAATGAAACAGAGGGAGGTCAGAGGTCAGCGTGGGATCTTCAGTATCTTACTAAAGGACATTTGAGCAGGCCGGATGCTGAACCAAAGGGCTTTGGTTGAAAACTGCTCTGCCTACCTTTGACTTGTTATATCCAAAATGTGCTTGACTTTCTAACTCACCACCTCCTCGTTTTGCTACATAACTGTTTATGGACAAAGTCCTGCTGTGTGGTTTGCAGACAAACACATGCATTACAAGTAAAGGCTGAAACGTAACCAAGTAATGCTGAGCATCCCTTCAATAAGTCACCTTACTATCCAACACTTAACTGTTACTTAACTGTAACTATTCACTATATTGAAAACGAAAACTGATATAAAATATTAATTTAGGATGGGGAGTAAAGCAAAAATCCCAGCTGACATATTCACTTTTCGCCCTTTTTGTTGCAAAAGCGTTGGACATTCCAAGTTTTTGTTTTTTTGCAGAATTAAGGTATTTGAGTGGTTAAAATATGCAGGGTCTGAGGAAATAAGTACATATACAGTATGTACTGTAACAAATCAGGATTTGCCAACATCAGCATCAGTATCAGTATATCAGGACAATTCGGGTTTAACCTCAGTTGTCATTTACAGAAAATAAAGTCAACTCAAATATTTTCTTTTGTGAGCAAGTCTCAGTGTTCCAGCTTTCATTGTATTGTTGTATGTGACAAATTCCACTCATCATCTACCTGAGCAGGCTAAAACAGCCTTCAACTATTTGCAAAAACTGCTTGGTGCAGATCTGGAACAAAGGGAGGCTACCTTCTCTTCTTCTCAGGTGCATTGACATGACCTTGTAACTATAAAGCTGGCTGCATCTACCCATCATAGACAGATAGAAAGTAAACACTAGTGAAAATACACTTCAGTAAAACTCTAGTAAATATACATAAAACCGCTGTAACCTTGGAATATCTGATGACCACCTGTTTTAAAAAGGTTCTCTAGCTATAATGTTGATCTCGTTAACTTTAACATATTTGGCTGTCCTTGTTACAATATGGTAGAAATCAATAGACGCCATATTGTTGAAAGACCTTACCGGGGCTAAACGGCTGATATTTATCAGGTTAGAACAGAATAATTCACCTATTTATTCAAATGAATGAGTCAATAAGGTGGGGAAACTCTGTTGCTTTGCCGCCTTGAATAATTAATTATCAAGCTGTCTGAAGCTAAACACAATACCCTAAATGTGTCATGTGAAGTCGCTCCTTTAGACTTCTAATCAATCTTTGGTAAAATAGGGGTAAGATTGTTACAAGCATTTATGTACATTACAAATATAAAAATACAGGTTCAATATTTTATTTAAAAAAAAAAATACCTTCATACAAAAAAGCTCTTTCAGCTTTGTAACTGGGAATCAATAAAACAGTGCTCTTAGAATAAAAAAAGTCAAGTAAATAAATTTCAGGTGCAAATTCATAAGACAGACTAACTCCATAGTGGAGACTATGGACTTTAGTCTAAGTGCTCACTGCTAATGCGTCTTCATCCTGTGGATTTACGAAGCAAGGAAAACGTCAAGATCAGCGATGACAGCTGCCTGTCTTAGGGCAACAGTGTTCAACAGTCGGTGAGGAAAGGATGGAGTTCCTAGGTCCACCTGGAGAAGAACAAAATTACATTGTATGGACCAAATCGAGCTTAACGTGGAATTAAAGAAAGAGGCATTACTGCGGTGGTAATCTTTTGTGAGTCTGCACAGTAACACTGATTTTATTAAAACATTTTAACCACTTTTAACAAATGATACATCTAGGAGATCTTATAAAAACATCTTGTAAATGTAAGTATGTCAAAAAGCCATTAAAATAAAGGTTATTATCTCAAAAATAGCATTTTTCACACGTGCTTTTTGAGAGTTCCACATTAACATAGACTACCTTTATTCGTCAGATCATTAACCCAAACATTTGTGCATTTACTGGCAGTTAAAATGTGCCGCTGTTGCTAGGGACACACATATCAGCCGGGCGGATTCATTTATAGCAACCATAGCTCACCTGTAGCAGGTAGATAACCCTGGTGATCTCCTGTCCACTACGCCTAATTGGCTGCAAGACCCAGCAACTGGGCATCATCTCCCCTCGGACGGCATCCACACTGGGACGAGGCAGAGACTCCTCAAACACAGACTGCATTGCCAGCACGCACAGGCCGGCCTGAGGCAGAGAGCGGAAGAAAAAGAAAAAAAAAAATCAATAAAACAGGCAGTGCAGACTTTTGATCAGCCAAGAGGCAACTGTACACTGACGCTGATAACCAACAGCTGACACGGTGTCTTCCACACCCACTGCCTGTGGGTCAGTCTTGTTTACTCTCAGTGTTGTTTCTATGAGCATGAGTGGTTTCTAAATAGCATGTTCTACATTTTGTGGATGAAAAACTCCACATCAAGCTGTTTACCATAAATTGATCTTAATTACAAAAGACAACACTGTCCGATCCTGGTTTCCTGCCACACTAATATGACAGTAAATGGAGTTTTTCTCCTTCAAACTGAAGTGTGATTTTGTGTACAACTATGCTGCAAAATGCTCAGTGGACCTTATACAAGGGCGACTAGCAGTAATCATCAGGAGCGGCTGGATGATTTTGCAGCTGTGCTTACCTGTTTAGACTCGGTGCTGATGCAGCAGAAGTCCCGCGGCTGGCTGAGGTGGCAGGTGGACGGATCGGTCAGTATGTAAACTAAACAGAAAAACAGAGAGGATGTGTCAGATAGGGAAAAAAACCGTTGCGAAAAACCTGTAAATAAAAGAAAATATAGAAGAACCAAGACAATGGAACATGACTTTATTAATAAAGAATAGATTATTGATATAGAAAAGGCAAAATGTAACATATTTATATAAAGATATGATGATCTATTACAATAAACTCTACATCAGTGTGTAGATACAACTAGACAAAATAAAACTTTTGATCAGGGCAGAGTAGATAAAGTAAGAGAGACCCCAAAGTTCTTGAATGCAACATAACTGCAGGTGTGAGAATGGAGTTGGTCATGCAATACAATAAGCTCGTCAGTGATAAATGGGATTGCGTACTGCACTGTACTGTACTATACATAGATAATGGATGCAGACGCATCATTTGAAGCAAAATACATGTGCCGGGTCCATAAACACCTTGCAAAAATATAAATAGTTCTGCAGCAAAGACAATAATAATATAATATATTTATATTCTTGCAAAAATACAACTATTATTTGCAAGGTGCTTTTACGTCACATCACACTCAACTACTGTAGTATTTGTCAGTATCTTATAAACTGCTTCTTGCAGCGTTTTTAATATGCATCCTTTCACATTCGAGCAACGTTGTATTAACCAGTGACGGAGAAAGTATTCAGATCCTCTCATTTAGTGAAAGTAGTAATACCACAATGTAAAAATACTGCCCTCAGAATTTTACTAAAAGTAAGCATAATCAGCAAAATGTACTTATTTTTATAGTACGTATCAAAAGTAAAAGAGCTCAATGCAGGAAATGCTTATTTACTATATAATTTAATGAATTATTATTGATCAATAAATGCGGAAGTAGCATTTTACTTTTGTACTTTGTTAAGATGGAGCAAATTTTAACTATTTTATATACTTTCTGGTAATTTAATCTATAAATATCCATTATATTTATGTCAACTAAAAGGTTAAAGTAAAGCACATGTACCTCACATTTGCACTTAGGTGTAACTCTTGACTCCACCACTGGTTTTGTAATGTATAGAAACCATGTTAGGATATAGACTGAGCGGACATGTTGGCTCACCCAGCTGAGTGCTGTCATCTAGTGGTCGTGTCCAGACAGAACGGACCGACTGATTATACATGTGGCTCTTGGACAGCTGGCAGATTATGTTCCACAGACTGTCCAGGGGCCTGTCCAGCTCCCCGGCCACCAAGAAACCATGGACAGATGGGCTGGAGGAGGGCTTGTAGTAAGCCTGGATACCTCGTTCTTCTCCCTGATATCTAAATAAACACAAACTTAATACATTAGCAAATGAATAATAAAGTCAATAAGTCAAGCATGATTCCTCTAATTAAAGAGAAAGTCTGACCATAGAGGATTTTGGATGAGTTTATTAAAGAGAATCATTGAGCTCACCCCCAGCCTGCTGTGGCCTTGCCCATTAGCAGGTTGCTCAATTCCCCAGAAGAAGCTAGTCGCACCTGTGGAGAAAGAAATGTAATATTCAAACAAGGACAATCTTTATAATGTTAATCAGTAACAGTGCATTTCGTTGTTTAATTGTTAATGTTTTCAATGGAACGCAAAAAGCAAAGAAATGTTCAGGTTTTTCTTTAAACCAGCTCTGAACTTAGATCTGTTGTTACCTCAGCCAGTGCTCGACCAAGGAGGCTAGACGTGATATCCTGATAGGTTGTGGATATGGAAGAGGAGGAGCCAAAGGAGGCGGTGCGTTGACGTGCACAAGTTGGGGGTGATGGAGATGAAGTCATCAGGGGCTCAAACGTGGTGACAGGAGGGTCAAGGCGGACATCTAGCAAAACACACAGATGGAATTTCAATACAGAGAATGTAGAGGGGGATTAAGTGCCACACCGCTGACAGACATGGGCAAAACAACTATGGAAAGTATTTTCAAAGCTGTCTTCAATCATATACTGTATATTAGTTTCTAAATTTAAAATGATGTCAATGATTCTTTGAATGTGAATGTTTTTTATCTCTTTTTTTGAGCTTTTGATGATAGTTTTGGCCCACATGTGTTTGAGTTTGTGAGTCACAGTCCAGTCCTTACCGTGGGCAGACAGCCAGGCTCTTTGTGTCTTCACACTCTGAGGACCACATATAGGAGGACGCGTCCTGACCTTCAGCCCTTCATCCTGGGACCCTGTGGTCTGAACAAATAGAAAAAATACAGTGGTATTTGCACTTTAAAAATAATCCAAAACATCTCATTTTCATTCTTTTTTTCAGCTATTAAATCTCAATTATTCAGATTTATCGTAATGTGTAAGATTAGTGTACTTACCTGTCCAGTCAGAAGTGGTCTGTTGCCATGCTGCAGCTGGGCCGTGTTGCCACTGTTGTACCCTGATGTTGGTCCAGAGGAAAGGCTCAGGCTGGATCCTGTGCACAAGGTGCTATTACTGATCCTTGTTCGATGCTTCAGGTCATCCTGCCCCACACAGGGAGATGGGAGATAGCAATTAATTATATATAATACTTCAGGGTCTTAAAAAAAACAAATAAAAATAACATCACTAACCACATTTATTTATTTGAATTTATCGGTAAATTATTTGGAATCTTAGATGATTAGAGTTCTCAAATCAATCTTATGTAGAGCCAAAACAATTTATCAATGTATCAAATAATCATTTTAGTCATTTATCAACAAAAATATTTCCTGGTTCAAACTTGTCAAATGTGATAATTCGCTTTTTTTCTCTGTCAAATAACACAACAAATATCTTTTCAAATGTTTAGACAAAACAATTTCACAAAACTCCCTTGGGCTCTGGAAACATGTAATGGATATTTTTCACTATTTTCTGATATTTTATAGACCAAACAATTTGATTAATGGAAAAATAATCAGCATGATAATAATAATTGTTAGTTGTAACCTTTATCAGAGAATTATTACTTGGTCTTTCTCACACATGTCTGAATTAATTAATTACAAGATTGCAATGACACAAAAACAGACCTTCACTTCCTGAGACACGGCCTGCTGCTGCAGCCTCCTCTTCTCCTGCTCGGTCCTTTCTCGCAGTCGTTCTCGTGCCTTTGCAATCTCTGTCCTGGCCTCCTCCCGGGCTCTGCCGTAGTCCCGCAAAAGCTGCTCAATGTCAGATGGACACTGGCCTTCTCCTCGTGGGGGGTCTGGTATTCTGTCATTTTGATAAATCAACAAATAGAGTTGCATTCAAACCAATTAAAAAATGTACTTTTTAATTGTAACTTTTCAACACTTAACTCGGATTTAAAATTCAAGACTAATATGGGGATTGTGTTTTGCTCTTGTGGGAGAACTAGTGTCTTACCTGGTGCTGTCGATCACCTCTTGGCGGAGATGTTGTAGGTATTCTTTACGCCGACTGGGCATGGCGGCAGACACCTTGGAGGAAGAAGCAACATCTTGTGAAGAGGAGCAAGGATGTTTGCTGGGACTCAGACTACGAGCTCTCCGGTAAGTCTGGAGACGTTCCTCCCTCTCCTGCCTCAAACCCTCAATACTTCTGCGGTGTCTGACAGGAAAGATTCACAGAAACAGAAAATTATGAAAAACATGACTGAGTCAAAGAAAAGGCTTTTGGCAAATTTTGTAATACATTTAGGACAAGGTAACTCATTTATTCAGTTTTACAACTGAATACTGGAACTTAATACATTATTACTTACAACCGAGTGTATCAAAAACTGTCAGATATTAAAAGCAGGCATCAGATACTTGATCAGATTTGATAGTGTTTGATGAGATATTTCCTGATGATATAAATAAGAAACTTAACTTAAATAGTTTAGTCTATCCTGTTAAATGAAATGAAATGTAGAAACTACATATTTAAATCTCTTAAACAGAGGTCTTGAAAAGATAACTTGTACAGGCATGGTGGTATTGGAATTTTTAAAATTAAAGCTATCCCAAAGACAAGACAACTGTATCTGATCAAAATAAAGGGTATTTACCTATCATACAGCAGCTGTTTGGTAGTCACAGAGGTCGGGGGCTCCGGCTCTTCTCTAGACCTCGGGGACAGCATCTTTAACAGTGTATCCGTCTCTCCGAGGCCATAATGCAGCTTGGCCTCCGTCAGTTCCACAGTAAGCGGTGTCGGGTTCATGTTGAGGCTGACCGTCGCCATCACCTGCTCTCTCTCCTGTCGCAGCTTCTCTATCTCTCTAGCCCTTCTGTCGCTCTGCGCCACGGACTCTACATTTGAGCAGTAACTCTCCATCTCGCCCCACTCGGCAGAGTTTTCGCTCTTGTTGTGTTCTTTGGTAATAATCGTGGCCGGTTTGTTGGCGGATTTTGATTGTTGTGGGCTGATGCCTGACCAGTTGGTGAACTTGTTGTGCAAGGGCAGATCCTCTGGGGCTACCTGGTGGTCTTGACCCAGGGATGCACCGGTGACAGGTTTTATATTCACAAGGACGTCTGTGTTGCACTCACTGGGTGCCAGTGACACCATGTCGTCCTCTTGAAGTTTGTCAGTGTGGTTGCTGACTGGGGATGGATCGTAGTAATCAACGCAAAAATCAGCAACAACAACAGGTCTTGTGTAGCTTGTTGTTTTTCCATATGTGGATTTAGCCTGCTGTTTCTGCACACCAGTCGGTCTTAATATGGGAGATATGTGGTCCTGCATAGTTAGACCTTTTACTGAAGTAGAAGTCCTGCACTGGTGAGAGGTCATCTGCCATTTGGGACCCTTGTCTTCAGTTCCCTTGTCACTGTCTGTATATCTATCCAGTGATGAACTAAGGCTTGTAGAGCACTTATCAGACACTTTAGGGCTTGAGCAACTCATTTCAGTCACATTCTCAAGTGATACAGATTCTGATTTACAATGGGAAACATCACAATCCTGTCTGGGCATTTCATCATCCTCTGAAACTATTGTGCACGCCGATTGTTTGCTTGAAGGTACAGAAAGGTCTTTCTCAGAGGTGTTGTCTTTATTTCTACCCTGATATTTTGGAAGACATAATGGTGACTGGCTTTCTTTCTGCTTCACACGTAATCTTGCTCCCACAGTCAGTATGGGAGACGATGCGCGGTCTGTGTATGTAGCTGACTTCTTTAAAGAAAGTGATAGGTCCTTTCTTAAAGAGGGACTGAGGCTTTCCTGGGAGTCGTTTTTTGATGATCTGTTTTCAGATTTTCCAACACTTTTGTGGAACAGTGCCTGAGGCATGCTTTGCTTTGAGCCTCTAGAAGAAGCAGATCTTACACGTCTTTGACATTCACCTGCAGTCTTTAAAGGAGGTGTTTTCAGAGGGTCATTCTCTGATTGTGAGGCAGACCTTTGTGCTGCAGCAAAGGCGTTAACCCTCAGGTCAGGCATGCTCTGAATCTTTTCATCTGCCTTACTCTTCACCAAACAGTGCACATTCTTGTCTTGAGACACACTGACAACCTCAGAACCAATCACTTTGACTATGACACTCACTTCATGAGATTTGGACCTTTCACTGGGTGTTTGATGAACAGCAACTTCCTTCTCTGCTGGTGTTGGGGGCCGTTCTGTTTGGATACCAACATCTATAGCTGTCTGAGTTGAGCAGTCTCTCTTGGTGTAGTCATTAGACTCACAATAAGAAATGCTGATATTTGACAAGTTAACACTCCTCCTCAGACTGGACTTGAGGGCTTCATCCGTTCTCATTCCCTGGACGTCCCCCAGCAGGTCCGAGGTGCTGTCGATCAGCTTTGAGAGGTGAGCTGACATGCTTTCCATACTGGCCCACGTTGGAGACTCTTTAATGTCCACTTTGGTTTTCTGTGTTGCAGGTACATCAGTTTTACTCCTTTTGTGCCGCTCTTTCCTCTTTGGAGCACTACTACTGTTACCGATACTAACTATCTGGCTATGCTCCGTTTGAGTGCCATGTTCACATGTCCTCCTTCTTTGGGCTTTACTTGTCTGGGATTCTTGCTCAGACGAGTACACAAACACAATTTCATCTACCTGACTGGAGTTGTTACCAAAGCCACCAGGAGCATCGTTACTTGAAGAACTGCCGGTCACTGTCAGATTGGCTAGATGATTGTGAATATCAACAGATGCCTGTTGACAGGGCGTAAGCTGAGATGTTTTGTTCAGTTGTTCCTTATAATCCTCCATACTGCTAAGCGTGCTGGAGAGCCCCTTGTTGGTGGCGTAGGTGCTCAGATGGGAATTGAAGGGCAAGTTCTGCCCGTTCAAACCATTGTCAACACTACAGCATCTCGTTATACGTTTCTCAGCGCTGTTCAAAAGTGGAGATTTACAGGACAGATCAGCAGCACTTCCAAATGCTGGGTTCTTAAAACAGTGTTGGTTTGGGTCATCACCTTGCCACTGGTGAACAAAAGGGTTGATGTCACTGGAAGCAAAATGTATAGGAGAGTCCTGACACTTGAGCGTATGTTGGGGTTCCCCTTTCTTTGCATACGGAATGATTTTTTCTGTCTTTTGCAACATTGTTTGAGGGGGTAAAGAGTGTCTTTTTAGGGTGTAATCCTTACTAACTTTAACTTCACTTTTACCTGGAGCTCCAGCAAAACAAGCCTTCATTTTAGATTTGCTCATTGACAATGTAGTAGAAATATCTGTGTTGTTAGTTCTAGCCTGTCTGACTTCTTGTTTGCCATTACTGCCAAGCTTAACCCATTTAGATGAGAGTCGGCTGTGATGCGCTCTGGAGGTTTTGTCATCTTCCTCATCCTCATCTGATGACTTAAGAGAGGACTCTGAGGAAGATGTGGGATGAGTCTGGATCTTAGACCTTCGGAACCTTTTAGACTTGGCTTTTTTAGAGATGACAGCAGAATTATCCTGTTTATCACCAGATGTGTTTAGCTCAACCTGTTTGGACATCACAGATGAATAGCAACTTGTATTTTTGATGGCATTTCCTTGTGGCATTTTGTGCTGTGGCTTTCTAGATCCAGAAATACTTGCTTCATATTTTGACTCTACAACGATTTTTGGAACCTGCACTTCAGATTGGTGAGTCAATGTGTCTTTGTCATTTTTTGTGATGCAACTGTGGCATTTGTTGTTGTAATTCATATTGACCACACAAGTCTGAGCAAAATTATATGAATGAGTCTCTGGACAGGAGAATTGATCCTGGGCTGCAATACAAGGTATACCTCCTTTTGTGTTCTCTGTTTCATCCTTTCCATCATGACCAGGAGTAATGGCAAAACCTTTTATAGAGGCGTTGTCATCAGTTGGTGTGTTCTGGTTTCTGTGATTGCCGTGGGGTTTGAATTGAAGATCTCCTTCATCAGATAGTAATTTCACAGCGCCAGATGTGTCAGGACTTGTGTGGAAATGAATTGTCCTTGGTGAGTTTTGTTTGTATGAATAACCATCTTTCGCTTCATCACTGGATGGGGCTTCCATACTGACATCCTTTGCATGATTACAGCTACAGCTTTCTTTTATATCACCCATGGTGGAAGGTGTTTCATGGGGTATTTGGTGAAGTTCTGGATTCACAACAGGGGCATCCAAACAGCTCTGAGTGTCCACTTCATTCTCCACAGTGTTTCTTTGAGAATCACTACATTTTCTTGGTGGAGAGGAATCACTCATTGAAGACAAACAAACTGGTTGCAATGTGGGTTTGCCAGAGTGCTCAGACTCAACATGGCTCTTAAGTGTCAGATTTGATTGGATGTTGTTTTTGGAAACACAATGCTCAAATACTGGCTTATCTGATGTTACATCAGAAAAGGCAAGAGCATGGTCAATATTCTCTGTTACTTCAATAAACTGAAACATGTTGCTCTCTTGGCTAGTCTTCAATTCAGCTGGAAGATCTGATGCCTGGTGCTCACTTTTGACCACTGTGTTTTCACTTGTCATCCTTTTCCATTTTCCACCTTCTCCTTCTTTCACCTGATCACAATTTTCATCTCTCAGCTCTCTTTCTGTCCATATATTTTTAGCACTATTACAGCCAAAATGACATGCAGAAGATGACAAGGCATTCATGCTTTGACTGCTGCTCTTCCTGTCATCGTTGCTGCCAATCACTGACAATCTCATGTGATTTTTAACCACTTCAGAGATTCTCAGGTCAATGGCGCTACAAATAGCGTCTGACTTGCATATGTGTTTTCTACTTCCTTCATGTTTTCTGGGGTTATCAATTTGGGATTCCCACCCTTTTGTTTCTGCAGCTACTTCTTTTATTGTTACATGTCCCTTTTCAACTACTTTCCTCTCTACTACAGAGGTAGCACTCTGAGGACTATTGTCATCATATTCAGAGTCTTCAAAGATCTGACAACTCTGTCCAAGTTTCCTGCTCATGGGATCAGAAACTGGTGATGCCACTGAAGCTACTGTGTCTTGTCTAACACTGCCAACACAAACAGAATCAAATTCAGGGCTGTCAGCTTCCACAGAAGACTGTTCCCCTTTTGAGTCACTGGTGTTATTATTGTCATCAGGCCAAATATCTTCCTGGCTCCTAAATGGTACAGAGCAGAAGGTTACTAACTCTTTGCTGTTGCTCCTTTTTGGAATTTTCAGGCTGCCTATGAAAGCATCCGGCTGGTCTTTGTTCCTCTTCCTGGAATTTTTACAAGCTGATCTAACAACATCTTGCTGTATAATGTACTGCTCAGTGCCTTTGGCTTCAAACTTATCTGAAGTTTTGGCCCTAGTAAAAGATTCATATTTGGTATTCCCAAACTCACACGGCTGTATATTTTTCAACTTTTCTGTTGCACCATCTACAGTGTATAGTACTTCATCTTTAGTGGACAGTTTGAAAGCACTTGCAGCTTCAGACATTGTGTTCAGTACTTGACCTTGGTTAGTAGGAGAGAAATGCATCACTGATTGACAACCTGATGTACACATTTCATTGTCAGAGGACATCGTAACATCAGCCACGGCCACCATGTCAGGTACATCAGTTACTTGTGATGCTTGTTTTTCAGTGTGGTGGATCTCAGTGGGTAAAACACAAGCGGTCTGATCTAAGGTTTGTAAGGATGCTGGACTTTTGTTGCTGCTGCAGTCCGGAGTATCTATAACAGCCTCCTCCACATTTTCTGTTTGTCCCTCTGATTGCACTACACAATATCCTACGTCCTCCAGAGCTTCATCTGGTGTTTTTGGATTCTGAGAGTCTTGAAAATCTAATGTTTCTGATGAGCCCCCTGAAATGTCAACACCATGCTCCTGCACTGTTACATTTACACCCTCAGTGCTGTTGGACGTTGAGCTACAGCTCCTAGTTCCACTCTGAGAGTCTGAGAGGTTCATACTGGTTGGACTGGGACTGCTACTGCTGTTTTCTACACCTCTGAACATCATTTCTCTTTGGAAAGGCAAAGAATTCCTGTGAATCCTGGGACTGTCTGCTGCATCGGTGGAGGACCAAGCATCGGTGAGCGCCAGCATGTTTTCTGGCTCCCTCACACTGCAGCTGCTCAGGGAGCGTGGACTGCTGGTCGAAGTGGTCTGCATGTTCCCAAAGTCCTCACTCAATTTGTGTAGAGTGTCTTTGCCTCTGGAATCTGCTACTAATGGGTTTTGGGAAGAAGCCTTCCCTGTTGCACCACTGTGTCTTGATTTTGGGGAGCCTTGCTGGTTCCAATACGACTCTGCTGAGATTTCCTGAGCTTTCTGACAGCTGTCCCAATCTAAACTGATCTCTGCAGTTCTATTGTGGCGCATGGATGAATGGGAGCAATCTGTCATCAATGAGTAAGTTGGCAGCACGGTTTGGCTAAGCTTCCTGACTGTTGAGTATTTACCACTACTCTCCAGAGCCAATGAATCTTTAGACATTTGACTGTCTTCGCTCTCTGCTTCACTCTGAGCTGCTTCCTCGTGTCTTAGCTGCTCTGCTAGCGCTGTCGCATAAGCAGAGGACAGGGAATCAAGAGAAAAAAGGCTCTCACAGTCCGATGTTCCTTCATCTCCATCTTCTTGCTTTTCCTCCCATCTGATCAATCCCTTCTGTCTCTCGACCCATCCACTGGTCTTATTCACCAGAGCCTCTGTACTACGCCACCGCCTCTGTCTAATGTCCTCAAACACAGTACTTTGGTCAAGCTCCTCACATGAGACGGCTGTTTTAACAGAACATTTGCTTCGGCTCATCTTGGTTTCTTTAAGGCTCCTATCTCTTCTTTGTCTCCAGTGAAATTTGCTTGCTATCCTCCCCAAAGATTTGGGGCTTCGTCCTCCATTTGCACCTGGCGGTGGTTTCCTGAACACTTTGGACAGAGCTGTTTTTAACCTGGGCCCCACAGAACGAGAGAAAGTCTTTGTGATGGTTTCTAGTCCGTTGTTATCTTCATGCGGTTGAGTTGTCTCATTCATGCAAGGCACAGTCTGGGAACTGGGTTTGTGTGTTGTGAGTCCTTGTATATTTTCTTTGCTGACTGGTTGAAAAGAAGTTCCAACTGGTGACTTCAGAGTGACTGGCGAGTTCTGATCCGATCTGTTCTTAAAAGTCAGGTCTCGGTTTGGCAGCAAAGGCTTTCTTTCTGGTCGTTCCCGGCAGGGCTGAGCTTGGGGCTCCTCTTTGCCAGTTTGTCGGATGTTTTCAGAGGAGCCTACTCTACTCCGGTAGGCTTGTCCTGAGAAGAACTTACCAGAACAACTCTGGGTTCTTTCCCGAGGAAGACACTCCTCCGAAACCCACTTCCTGCTGCCTATGGAATCAGAGGTTGTGGAGGAATTTGACGTCAGTTCTGTGGATCTGTTTCTCTTGAGGAAGTGTCTGTCGAGGAGAGAAAAAGAAAGACAAAGATCAACATTTTGGAAAATATTTATACATAGGAGGTTTCAATGACCACAAAACAGCCAAATAAATATAATAATATAAATAGATATTTTGTAGTGTATTAGCCCATTAGTTAAGCAAAGAAGTTTGATTCCTGTGCTTCATGTGAGTTACCTACCTGAAGATAGGGGTGTTCTGTGGGTAGAGTCGGGACAATAGATCTGCAGAGAATGAGTGTCTACGAGAAACAGATGGTCTTCCTCTGAGCTTTGGGGGGGAACCTAGCTCAGGAGACTCAGGGCTGTCTGGTCCCGGAGGCAGGGCCTTCTCAAGCTTCTGCAGTTCTCTCTTAGCCTCCAACAGATGCCGCTTGCGGGCGATTCTCTCCAGCTGGTAGTGCAAACTTTTCCGACGGATGCGGCTCTCGGCACGGCAAAGGGCGTGATGCTTTAGTAGCTCATCCTGCATCACCTTCTTTCTGGCTCTTACCACCTGAGACGGACAATCCACTGTCTGACCTTCCTGATCCTCAGGCGCCTGACTTGTCAGTCGCTCCAGGAGGGGTGCAGGGATAAGGTCTGTTTGAACTCCAGACTCTTGGGTGATTCTCCGCTGTTTCTCCCGCAAAATCCACTGCTGGACTGTTGGGTAAGATTTATAGAAGGGAATCATAAAGGATGGATATCTTACACCTGTACAACATTTATCAAAAAACTCAATTTGATATGAATCTCCATTTTTTTTTCAAAAACTTTGGCTTGTACATGTATCTGCATGAGCAATAACCTTTTTCTTAATATAAGCGTGTGGAAATACTACTCACTCTCACTGTGATGCTGTCGGAGGTGGGCCTGCTCCCTCTCCAGCTCTCTCTCAGCCTGTCTCTGTTCAGCCTGAATCTCCTGTCGCAAACTATCCACGTAGCGCTGCTGTGCCTCCAAACGCTGTCTAGCAGTTGGCTCCTCACTGGGAGAGAGACAGGCACCCAGCTGCCCTTGGATCTTCACATCTTCGACACTATAAAACAGACACAGAGATCCAGGATAAAATACAGACTGTGATGGAAAGAAAGACAACCAGAAAAAGTCAAATAAATCATTTAACCTCACCTAGGTACAATTTCTTTTCTGGAATTAAGCAGTTTGGTGGTGGCAGGTTTAAAGTAAAAGCTACTGTTGTTGGTTTTCAGTTCTGCGTCTCAGCAGTAACCAAGCAACAGCTGAGCCTGTCCTGTAAACAGCTAACTGGGATCATTCACGAAGGTGGGGGCTAATGCAATCATGCAATCTCCACCAACTGAATTGAAACACATGTGAAGCATTTCCCTATTTCTACAGCAGGAACACTGGTACAACACATGTACCTCTTATTAAATATGTATGCTGTATGTTGGTAGAATAAGATCTCTGTACAGCACACACATAAACAAATATGAGGGATGAATATTATGTTTTTCTGTTAAGTGTTTCTTTGAAGTATTTACCTGTGCTCAGGCGTCAAGGGGCAAAGGTCAATGTAGGTGCAGGTCATGCCACTTTCACTGGCCTGACAACAGTGAAGAGAAGATACATTTTAATATTTACCAGAAAATAAACAACCACAACTATCACTTTTCTCAGAAAGCATCCTAGTCATCTGCTCATCATCAATATTATCATGATTGCCATCATAACCAACAGCATCACTTTCATTTTCAGCTGAGCAGCACCTACCCGCCTGCGTTCCCGGAGGACTGCTGCCTCTGCTGGATGGTTGAAGCGGAACTTATGCACTCCTCCCAAGGTGATCACCGTCCCTGGAGAGACATATCCTTCATCACAAGCTGTGCTCATTCTGCTGCATTGTGTTGATGTAAGCTGAGAAAAGTAGGTGTATGTGCTGCAGTGTATGAGTGGTACAGAGTGGATGTGAGTGTGAGCCTCTATGTTTATCCTTGGGAAGAATCTATCTGTGCACCTTTAAGTGTGTGTGCATATATAATTGCACATTAACCCATATATGCTATCAAATCTTATCTGTGCATCTTTAAGTGGGCATGCATTAGTAATTGTACATTAACCTAGATATGCTATCAAATCTTATCTGTGCATCTTTAAGTGAGGGTGTGTATATAATTGTACATTAACCTATATGTGATATCCAATATAGTGCAACAGTCACATGACAGGCTTTAATGCTCAGTGTCAAGTGCTGTTCAGGTCTGATTTTATGTATCATTGAATGTGTGTATTCGCACAGCATCAGAAAAGCTGAATCACATTTTTTCCTGGCTATTATTCTGCTGTAAGCCATAAATTAATTTGCACTCATTATTTACCTCTCTATATAGTAGCTTCCATTGTCAGTGGAGTGGAGTCCACATTGCCATGCAGTTACCGATAAATGTGTTATTAGAACGAAACTCTGGGAGTAGTACTATTACGGCATTCTTATGGTCTTAATGATACATTAACAAGTAACTTAAACCTTATGGCTCATACCTACTTTTGTTCTAAATCAAGGATCTAAGGACAGAAGGTGCTGTATTCTGTACTGATTGCAAAGCTCCTTGAGGACAATTCTGAGCTATAGAAATCTAACTGCCATGACTTCTACAGACATGAAAGTGACAACAGCTGCCTCAGGATATTAAAATAAGAATTCATATTTATTATCAGTCAAATAAATGTGAACATGCATGTAAGGTGCATGCCTGCATATCCATGAGGCTTACATTAGATATTAAAACCATACTCCAACTTTCTTTTTGCTGTTCTCTTTGACTACAAAATATCCAACCTGTGTCACATGTACATAAAAAATGCACTGGGAACAGATAGTGTGAAAAAAAAGTTTTGTTGAGGACCGGAACTGACCTTGAGCCAATCTGCAGGGCTCAGTGACCTCTCTGTCGTTGAGCAGGCAGACGCAGCCCGGCAGCGGCCTGAGCGTTACCACACCTCCGTGGTTTTCAATCTCACAGCTGGCACTGCCCTGCAGAACTAGAAACAGAATGCAGAAACACAATCACACATACAGATTAAGAAAGCTGTGCTGATGCAGCTACTGTATTGCTTTATATATTCAGCACTCAATGCAGCATTTAATGAGAAGTGCATTTTGGGATATATTTTACTATGCATTCTTATTTAATAGTTACAGCATACTGTGTATTTGTATATCTTCTGCCATGTTCCACGTTTTATGCGGCATGTTTTGTCAAAAGCTGCCAATTTGCTGTATGTCTACTCCGTAAGATGCTTAGAGGACTTCCACTCTTGTAATGTAAACAACAGTTGAAAAAACAAATCTTATGACACAATTTGAAAAGATATATTTGCAGCTGGATGAGGAAACATGGAGACCAAATTAATAAATGATACCTATTTGTGGCTCTTCAAACTGTTTCTGAGGTCCAATGTGGGTAACACCTTCCTGTGAGAAAAAAAATATATAATAAACAATAATAGATACACATTTAAAATCTACATTAACAAAAACATCAAAACAACTCTTGTGCATACTGGGACATTAGCAGATTGTGCTTAAAACACAAGCGATAGCAGATACAATGAATCTTACAGAATTATCTGAGAACTATTGTCCTTTCACTTTTTTTCTTCCATTTAGCTGACAGAAAAATGTAATTTGTTTACTTTGAAGTCTTATCTAATGGGATTAAAGGCTTTCTTATATGGTGTCAAGACCACATGTGTTCCCAGGTGGCCTCAGCTCTTCACATGCAGGAAACAGTGTAATTGTCAGGCCTGAGGGTATGCTTGTCATTGTCAGAATCAGGACAGCTTAAGCTCCCCTGAGTCCTAGCCTCAGAACTAAGAGCCTCTTATCCAACTGAGCTTCATGCATTGCAGAAGATACACACACACACACACACACACACACAGAGATGGGAGATCGACAGGACAGTTGGAGGTTGGAGTGAAAAGAAAAGACAGTAGAAATGCACCTTTTCTCAAGAGTTTTCTAGCAGAACAGAGAGAAAAAGTAGGAGGAGGAGGGGGAAGAATCTAGTAGGAAAAAAAAAGAGATGGTTTCAGTCAAGACAGCTGACAAATCAGTAACTTGAGAGTTGGGGAAAAGTAGAGCAAATGCAAAGAATATCAGCTTGTGGGAGTTTGCATCATGTTGTTCATGCGAATGTGTATTTTTAGTGTAACAGCATGTGTGCAAAAGAGTGATGTGTCTCTGGGGATTAGAAGGAGTCAGAGTGAAATAAACACACTTAAATACCATGAACAAGTACACACTATTAGTATTAATATCAGCTCCTACACTAGGACAACATGTATTTAAACTAAAACACTGCATTCATAAAGAAAAGACCACATCAAGGGAGGACAATTAAATAAGACCAAAACAAAACCAAAAATGACTGTTTATGCCTTTTTATCATCGTACCCTGAGGTGATAGAACACGACCCCGGTGCTGAGAACATCTGTATCCAGAGTGACCAGGTGTGGCTGGAGGGAGTTGATGAGGAATCCGGCCTGGTCTCTGTTGATGTCCACACTGTACTGCTCCAGGAGCTCCTTCTTGTCTCTCCAGCTCTCTGACCAGTCTTTTGTGAGCTGCTCCACCTGAGGAGAAGAGATGGATGAGGACAATGAAGGAAGTTTATTAAAAGAGGGGGTTGACACCATAAATATCTGTGGTCAAGGAGATAATGATGATACCAATTGTATCAATAGCACTACTTCTACTACTTTACCTTACATTTTCCATTTTTCTTGTAAGAGGTTTAAAAGTCAGAATAAAATATTAAAATACTGTCACAATGTGTCACAGATATGTAAACAAATATGTACTTCCAAAACACAGTATTGTGATATTGACTGCTAAAGACTGCCATCCCAATACAATAGGGGAGAATAGAATCTTGTTTATGGAGCTCAATACATTGACAGGGAAGTTTTCTTTAAGAAACAATGTCCTAGTTACTCAGGATCAACTGAGAACATTTTTTATCTATCAATTAAAAAATGTACTCATTAAGTCTCAGCAGAAGTCAATGATAATTGCAAATGATCGCAAAACCGAGCAAACAAAAGCTATCTAGATACAGGAAGTTGGAAAATGTGGATGAACTGTTCCTTTCAGTTATATCATGCACATTTACAAATAAATGCATGACATATTTCTATCTCTTCTAAAACACTGTGACTTGACTAGAGTGTAAAGTTGGAATAATGCTTGACAGTACAAACATTTGTGATGATGAACCCATCAATAGAGGATTATATGCTGTTGATTATATATTGTCATGTATTACTTTAGAGTGAAATTTGTGTCAAACTGATGAAAAATGTTCAAATAAGATTAAAGTGCACTGCCTTGATGAGTTGAGGACTACATTGTCTGTCAGGCAGACGTAACCATCGGTTTCGACCCTGTGTTACCTTCAGTTCGTTCTGTAGCACGATTTCAGAAAGATTTCCATCTCTCTCGTCGCTCAGGGATGGACTGGGATTACGCTGCTGTCAGTCAAGAGGGCAAAAAATTATCAGTCAATATACTGTGCAAAAATGAAAATGTCACATTTATCACAATGCAATTCAATCTTTACCACCCAGGGGATTAAAAATGTTACAAAATCACAAAGAACTGTATTAAGCCTTTGCTACAAAAATGTGTAATGTGGGAGTCTCTTTTATTCAAAGCCTTACAGTGCTAAGAGGGCTTTTTTTGGGGAAAACTCAGCGGGGTGTATCCCTGAGAGTGTTAGCACTATGCTCCAACGAAAAAAGGTCACCATACCATTTCAAAGCTGAGCAGCATGCTCTTCAGCCTGTCAATCTCCTCTCTGAGTTCCCTGATCAGCCGAACACTGGCATCCTGCGCAGAAATCAAAGCACACATTAATCTACTAAAAACATTTAGATCACACACAAAGTCTTGTCATCAGACTCGAAACAGCCACTGACCTCATTAACTCGAGGCTTGTTGACAATATTCCTAGCATGGGCAGCGTAGCGCAGCGTGCTGAGGGTCTCGTTGTAACTGTTGGCGGAGGGTGAGACCGCTGCAACACAAAAACACAAAAGCAAAGACACACACATACAGCAATTAGCGCCGACATCACAAGAAATAAGTATGAATGTATGTTATAAGTGTGAGACTTAAGACACCATACCAGTGGTTTGAGCAGTGTGGTCACATTACTGAAAACTATTTTCCAAACCGAAACCATTAGTTTTTAAATGTAATTTCCAACTTCTCAGCCAGCCATTATGTTCGTTGTGTACCACACACAGAAATAACCTGCAGACTTGCTTGAGGTAAAGTAACGTTTCATTTTTAATCAAGTGACATTATTTTGTTGCGACACTGCAGCAGCTATGATGTGCAAGGGCTGTTTTGAAAAGCCTTCAATATTGGTGAGTTCAAGTGCTTGCATGAAACCCTGTAACAGCAGAGCCTTGAGAGTTGGCTGCCATTAAAAACATATATTTGCATTTATAATATCAATTATTCCTTTCATTTTCTAAGTTTGCCTTTAAGGGTTTTAAATGGATACAGACCACCTCACCACTGCAACGTGATTCAGCCACCAACTCTATTGGTCTATTAACATTCAGTTAAGGCTTATATAAGCATACACTACTCACTACTGACATCTGTTATATAAGGAGAAGGTTCTCTTTATGAAAAAGTGTCCTGAGATAACTTCTGTTATGTTTTGGTGCTTTATAAATAATACAGAATTAAACTGAATTGTTATACTTACTTGCAATCATGATGGTCTTAGAGTTGCCGCCCAGGCTGTCTTTCAGCAGCCAGGTTAAGACCGAATCCCTGTAGGGGATGAAGCAGTGCCTCCTTCCACCTCCTCCTCCTCCGCCAGACAGGGAGCTGCTGTGGCTTCCTACCATGCTGCCATCGCCTTCAGAGGCCATGCTGTTGATACTCTGACAGCTGCTGGACATCTGGGAGTTCTGGGCTGTGGAGACAGTGGGAAGAAGAGGGAGTTGAGGGATTTATGGAGAGAGTGTTATAGGCAGATGGGAATATTTTAAGAATAGAGGAAATGTGGAAGGAAAAACATGAATTTGTGGAGGTTCATGCTAGATTTCATTCAAAATAAAAACTGCTTTCTTAGACATCACATGAACTTCAAATTGAATCATAAACAGTAAGTTAATTTACCAAGAGCTGATATAACGATGCCCAAAGTCACGAGTGACTTGTTGATGTTAGAGCCCTCCGTCAGTCTATCCCTGCAGTAGTGGGGGTCTGCTCGCTCACTGTCAGACATAACAAAAACATTAGGTTTGTGTAATTCACAACGATTAAAGACATAGATTATCCAATAAAAAATGCAGAACTGAGAATTTAGAAAATCTCAGGGCAGTGGCAAAGTAGCACTGCCACTAGGGGGCAGTTTTGTCAATGACTTTGACTCAAAAGGATGTTAAAAAAAAACACACAACAGAAGGAAAACAGTTTCACCTCCCAGCCAAGTCCACCAAGTTTATCTTGCTGACAGTTTCTGAAGGAAGGTTATTTTCTAGGGTTGCCTGTGAAGAAAAGACGAGAGTAACCAGACTGGAATCGGTAAATAATTACAAATACTCCACCTAAAAATAGATACTATCAATTGCTAGCAAAAAATACAAATAAATCATTAGCACATTGACTCTAACAGATGAGTGTAGTTTTATATAGACTGATTGGAGGGGTAGGAAAGATGATAACCTGTGTGTACTGGATGGTGAAGATGGCGTGGGATCTGCTGCTGGCACCATGGTTGTGCGTTGCTGCTGTGATTCGGTTGGCAATGCCTTCCTCCAAAAGGTCCATGGCCTGCTTGCAGTCTGAGACCACATGCTGCGACAGGTCTGATTAGAGAGAAACAAACCCAAGAAATAAAATGCTGAGTAAATAAAGCAAATGTACAGAGTCTTTATATGAACGTCAAAAATATTTATCAGTTTTCCCACAGTGTAAAGTAATTAATGTAAAACTCCCTGTAAGAATGAGTGCAGCGCAAGTGCATTCTGCTGCTGGGTACCGAGATGTACATTTTTCAGTTGTTGTCAATTTTATAGAATTTGTATAGACGAATGTAAAGGCATAAAGATCAAAGAGTAAGAAGGACATCGATTTACATTTGAAGGTTGTGTATGGCTGCCCTAAGAACAAGGTCACACTGATGCACTGAGTAAAAGTAAATGAAACTACACTGTTGAGCGGACTTGGACACTGATGACACTTCAGCAAGACATTCAGGCAGAAAACACGCAGAGGGACGGAGATGAGAAAAAGACACAAACAGGAAACATGTCTCATCAATACATGCGTAATATTTTCCCACAGTATTTAGCACCAAAAAATGTCTTCTACTCTCCAGGCGTGAATCACGTATCTTAAGCGGCTGTAAAACACATGCACGCACAGATCACCACAAAGCCTCATGGTGCTATTACATATGGTTACTTAAGTCCTTGTTTAAAATATGAACATTTAATAAAAAAGTGACATGAAACACTATTTGATGGACACGTGTTGATGGAGAAGAAGCAAAAGCTGAGAGACCTAAATGTGCTCTGTGTGTGTAGTGAAGTGTTCTCCTTGGAACCACAAGGAAATGACTTCACTTCCTCTGGTCAACTGGGATTTCTCCTGGTACAGACAATGAGTGGATGTGGAGCTTTAAACATGAAGAGGCGGGAGGGTGAGAGGGAGAGAGAGAAAAAAGAAAGAAAGAGGACGAAAGGATAGGCAGACGGAAGGAGAAATAGAAAGAGAGAAACAAAGTAAGACAAGCTAAAAGAGAAGGCTAGATTAAAACCAGGACGGCCAATTCGGGACCTGATCAAAAGCTTAACAACAGAACAGAAATTCCACCACCGACCACATACCACAGTGACTTGTAAACTAAACTTACAAGACACGAGCATTGCTCAAAATACTGCGGATTGATCTTACACATCCAAGTCCATAATTTGACAAAATTATGTGTTTGAGTGTGTAAGACAGTGTAGAGACAGAAAATGTACCCTCGGTATCCACTCACATCTTCATCCTCTTAGTACAAAGTGTTTCAGACAGATTCTTTTACTATAGGATTCACTGCTGAGTGTAAGTGTACATTTTACACTGGAGACTTCTCAGAGCTCATAGCCTGTGAAAGCATCTAATCATAAGAGCATAAAATTTTAATATGCAAAGTCCCACTGTATTTCTGAGACATAAAGTTGCAGCAAGGTTATTTAAAAGAACGTTTGTGGGCACAGATTTGGTATCTCATTTTAATCTTAGTGAAATGATCCTAGCCGGGTAATGAGAATTCGCAGCCTCAAGACCTCTAGTTGAGTATTTAATCAGTAAGACAGACAGAAAAAGACAAACAGTGGAAGCGATCTGTTGGTTTCTGAGTTCAACATTTTGTGCAATTACACCTGGAACTGTGGAGTCATGTTTGAATACTGAATTTAAATTGTACTTCATTTAATTTGTTTTACTTGCTTTGTGTTTTTAGGATAGGTCCATGTACAAACCCTTAACTCTCCATCGTTCCTGCACCTCTTTTTCTGTCTACGTGTATGAAGGTAGGTGCACATAAATGTGTTTTGGTGTACATATATGATTGTATGCATGTAATTATTGTCTCTTTTGGTGTTGGGGGCAGCATTAGCCTATTGTCGCTGAAATGGCAAAGACAGGAGTTTAGCCATGGGAAGTACAGTATACACTATGTCTTTCTGTCAACCACTTTGCTAGTATATGTGCGGGTGTCCCAAACACTTACCTTGTACATAGGGTCCTTTCTCAGGGTGTTCTCTAACTCTCAGGGAGGCTCTTTTCTTCTGCTCTCCTTGTCTCAGCAGGTCTCGCACACGCTCATTATAGATCTCCAGGAAGCTGCGGGGACAGAGGGAAAAAACAACATTCTGCAATGAGGACACACATTTGATATAATGTCAGGACTGGATCATGTAATATGCCCATTTTATCAATACCACCACTGAAATATATATACCACAGACCGACACAACAGTCCCATTACACAGTATATGTATGAGTTGTTTTAAGTCAGTTCATCAGCTGCATTTTCCTCAACATGTCAGAAACAACCAATCTTCATGTTTACCTTTCTGGCATTTTGTCTTTATTGGAAAGTTGACAGTACAGAGAGACAAAGAAGCAGGAGTGACATGTGACAATGGTTGTATTTGAACCGGGTCGTAGTCATGGTTACATGATCTGCGTTTTAGACTGCTGGTCAAACCAGACGACCCAGAAACACAGTCTACACCATGGAAATTGAAATCTTAGAATTAAGCAAAACCACCACATTTTTTCCTTGAATGAATGACATGGAGAACTCAGCAGCAACTCAGCATAATACCTTCTATTTCAAATCACTTTCAAGAAGTTGTAGGAGTTCAGGCTGCCTCCAAAACAGACAAGAATATCCAGTTTCTGCATTGTATTGCCTGCAGCTTTTCAGCATAATTGTTACATACCCGTCTAATTTGAATTTCAGAAAAGAGACCCAATTGCACTGTTTAAAAAGGGAAAGACAAGCACACAGAGTCAGACAGTAACACAGTACCTGATCTCCACTCTGCTTGAGTTTTGCCCATCAGGGAAAGTGTCTTCAGACCTAAAGAGACCCTGTAAGAAAAAGGAGAAACACAATTTACTTCACACCACAACACCGGATACTCAAGTGGCTGAACTGTCTCACCACACTGAATTTTACAATCCAATGATGTACCTGGCAGATCCGAGGGGTCAAGCCAATGGAGTCCTGATAAAAAAAACAGAGTGAGGGTACATTGGCATCATTTTGACAGTTGCCACAGAGAATTGGGTCACAACTAAATGCTTTTCTGAACTAAGTACATTTACTTAGATTTACATTTACATTTTACATTTGCTTATTTCAGTGCAGCATGGTTTGCTTTGATACTTTGTGTAACTGTTGTACTGTCTCCAATGTTCCTGGGGAGACCAGCTAAAGCCTAAAAAATGTAGATAATGTCATGCAGTGATTGCAGTGTCTTCCTCACCGGTGTCCCCATCATGGTGTACGTCTTTCCAGATCCGGTTTGGCCGTAAGCAAACAGACACACATTGTAGCCCTCAGAAGCTCCGGACAGCACAGACACACCCAGGTCCTGGAACACCTGAGGAACATTAACACACACACACACACACACAACCATTAAATCACAAATACACAAAGAAAGACCGACTAAGAGACGTCTACAAATAAATGGGTGGAGTGAGATACCTGGTTCAGCATGGAAATCAGTTCAAATATTAATGTGTGCTTTATTAAAAAAGCAAGGGCTCTTGAAGGCTGATTTGCTTACAATGTAAGCCGATGTCTCTGATCTTAATCGCATTGTGTTTTCACATGAGTGTAGGTTTACAGCAAGGTTTCACTGTCACAATGCTGTGGCAGCAGGCCAGCGGCGGGGAGGTAATGTTGCTTCCTGCAGAGGTGTTTGGGTAAGGAGCAGGGAGGTCAGCTAATACTCTGGGTAAACAACTTTGCAGAATGTGTATGTGAGAGAAACAAATGCGAGGGTAAAAAGACTTGAAAAGTGACTGAGTCAGGAAAATAAACCTTGCCTAAAAGCGCGGTGGGGAGACGGGGGATCCGGGAGAATCCCACTCAACACAATCAACTGAGGCCTCTTGTTTTCCTTCTCTCTGTCTGTATCTGAGAGATGGAGTCTGGAAATACCTCTTAACAACTCTTTAATACAGTTTAACAATTTAACTCAAACAGCTGAAAACACGTGGCTAGGGCTGCAACTAACAATTATTTCCATTATTTATCTGCAATTTATTTTCTTAATTAATCAATTAATTGTTGGTTCTATACAATTTTAGAAAATAGTGAAAAATGCCCATTAGAGTTTCCTAAATCCCAAGATGTTGACTTTACTATTATATAAGAATTCATAGTCCAGTTGTACTTCTGCGTCAAAGTCAAATATGTTGCATTGTGATAAGAGCATATAATTAATGAAACACCTTACTCAACAGGGCACATTATCAGTGGTGAGCAATGTGGGTGTTCTGCATTTAATATAATTTATTATAGGTCAGCAGCACCTACCGTTCTCTCTGCGTGTGTGTGTGTGTGATTGGGTAGATGTAGGACAAATGGACAAACGATGTATTGTTATCTTTCTTTTGTTCATTACTGATAAGCACAAAGAAACTTTATCAGAACATGTTCCTGTGGACATGTGGCCTCATTGGCAATCCAAAAGCTCAGTCCAAAGGCAACACACGCCTTGGGGGGGACAGAAACATGATCTAGACCAGACCTGAGACACAGCACATTCCCCCCAAGAACCATAACACAACCTGGAGATCAGTGAGGGGTCCCCCTCCCCTGGCCCCCAGGCTCAGGCCTGGACCAGGGATACTGGTGTGTAAGTACACAGAGGAGAGAGGAGGAATGCTCTCGAGGCTACCACCATCTCAGAGGATCAAACGCAGGAATTATTTAAACGTACCTCCCATGTGGGTGAGTATATGTGACTACCAACCACGGTCAGGAGAAGCGAGAACCTGGCCCTAAGCCTGTGTATACTCTAGACTTACAAAACGGTGGGAACAGGTTTAGGTTGGATGTGGTTGAAAGCTCTTGTGAAAGGCCCGGGTCTTGTGAAAGCACCTTGAAAGGATTTAATGGTCATTTGGTTGTTCTGAGGAGTGTGTGAATCTGTGTGTGTTAATATTGAACAGCCTCGAGTTTTCCTTGAGAAAAGTAAAATGTTCAACAGTGGAGTAAAGCTCACACAGAGACTAAACATCTTATCTAACCACAGTCACCAACAGTTAACGCAAAACACAGTGAGAAAACCGACACCCAAGGTTAGGACAAAGACTTGAATGTAATAGACTACTGATTACCTGCTTGAAGTGTTAATCACTATAATTTAGTAAATATGACAGTTACAAGTTACGTTGCTTTCAAAAAGCCACAGAATATGAAGTTGAACACCAATAACCAATGGATCGATTGGTGACGTCTTCATGTCATGTTTTGTCCAACCAGACAGTCCAAAATCCAAAGATAGAAGACTAAGAAAATCAGCTAATATTCACAGTTTACAAGCTGATACCTGTGATTTTTTGGGCATTTGTGGTTAAAAGAAATTAGCAAACATTCAGATGACTAGAATAAGTTCACATTTTATCTGCTCCTTCACAACACAACTAGTGCTGAAAAGGAAAGTCGATTTTCAAAAGAAAATGAACAAGATGATCCTAGATTTAGTGTTACATCAAGTAAAATCAAGCCAAAAATACCGAACATTCTCTGGTTCCAGCTCTCTCTCAGATGTGAAGATTTGCCACCCTTTCTCTGTTCTATATTGTACATTGAATATCATAGACAAGACATGTGAATATGCAGTTTTGGCTGTGGAAACATGTGATTGGAAACAATTAATCACAATAGAACTAAACAGATTGATCAGTAAGGAGAATAGCTCCAGCCCAAAACTCTGTAGCCTAGCCAACAGCCACGTGTTACTAGTAAAAGTACTGCCTCAACGGCTGTCTTACTCATTGACCTTATAAATCACCCAACAGGCACTGTGGTAGAGGCAACTAACACATCGTTATTCCTATGCATAGGAATCCATTTAACACCTGGGAGTAAAGGCTGCAACAAACAATTATTTTCATTATGGATTAATGGAAGTATTTTATTGATTAGTGGACTCAGTTTTTTGCCTAAAAAAAATTGCAATAGCGGAAGATGCTTATTAGAATTTCTGAGAGCCTAACATGACTTAATCGGATTGCTTATTTCATCAGACCAAGAGCTGAAAATCCAATCATATTTGATTAATTATCATGCATGACAAAGAAAAGCATAAAATCCTCACATTTCAGGACATGGAAACAGACAATGTTTGGTCTTTTTGCTTGAAAAAAAAATTACTGAACTATAAATCTAGGGCTAACTAAGTAACTGCTGTTAAAAAGAAGCACTGTTGCCAAAATGTAAGCAATATACTGTACATAAACCTGGAATCTATTTTAAAACAATATTGAAAGCGTGAGTTTCTCTTGCCCAATAAACAGTCAAGTCACAAAGTGTGCAGTCCCCCTGGAGTCCAGACCACCAAGGGTTGCCCCCTGCCTCTTGGCTGAATGGAAGCTTAAACATGAAGACAAAAAGGAGCGCCGCCCCTGTCTTGTCCTCATCCTACTATTCAGAAACAGACACAGAAACCCTCTCCTCCCTCAAACACAGAGAATCAATACAGCCCTTGTTAAAGTTGACCCTCTTAAATTCACTCTATGGGGGCTACAACAAGGCTGAGGGTCCCTCCCGGCTTAGCACAAAGAGCAGGAACTTCACTTCAACTGTGCACTGTGTCTCTGAACTTGACTCTTTATTTTCTCGCTGTACACTATTTCTTTTGTTTTTACATCGTTTTAACAAAATTCTGCAAAATACTTTGAATGGCCTCTGAACATAACCGCAAGAGGAAGCCTACACTTATATCAACCTCTTGAGACAATTAAAACTGTGTGTACGAGATGGTCTAGACAGGCCATGTTAGGCAACATTAAAACTATCCTGTCGTTTGTCATCACTGTCACACCAAATTAAAATCAGTAGATTGTCATTTGTGCCACAATGGCCCTCTGCCACAACCTACTTTCAGTTTGCAGCACCCTGCAGCATTGGGAGGTATTTTTGGACGAACAAAGCAGTTGAGGTAACAGACAGGTTGCATTGTGGGAATGGAAATGTACTCCAGGATCAAATGAAGCAGGAGAAAAACAGCCTGGAGATAAAGAGACTGGGTCAGAGCCATAGTAAGTGTGCAGGCTGGTTGGTTGCCCCAAAACACACAGGGGACAGACTAAACACCTCCATTAACAGGAAGGTGGTTGTCACCAGCAGGCCACTGCACGTGTGTGTGTGTGTGTGTGTGTGTGTGTGTACGACTGGTTAAGAGGAAACAGCATCCACAACAAGGACAAAGGCCTCAGAGTTTACTTCCCTCTCTGAGTAAAAATGTACAAACAATCTAACAATGAAAGAGGAAAAGCAGAATATAGATTTCATTCTTGTATAGGAAATAGGTCAATTCCATCAGGTCAAAACAGAGTAAGGAAGGAAGAATAAAACAAGGCTTTGGGGTTAGAAAAAGCAAAAGGCCTCCAGATATAGCAGAAGGTAAAGAAAAGGGTCTGCTATGGCGAAGATGAATTACATATACTATTGTGTATACATCAATGGCAGGTTTTAATCCAAAACATGACCTTTTGCACAAGTCACCCACTTCCTCCCATCTTTGCCTCTCTCCAATACAAACTACATAATCAAGCAGAAAAGGTAGAAAAACAACTTTCAGAGAAAAGACTTTTAAGTACATGCCACAGGCTTCTGCTATCTTTTCATTTAATTTATCATCCAGTCTTGGAGGCATTAACTGAGATATCTTCCTGCACAGTCCCTCTCATCGGCAAACACCACTATCTCAAACAAAAAACAAAATGCGATGCCAGGCTCATACTAAGATTCAAATATCAAGCAATGCAATGTCAGGAGATGGAAAAACGGAGCAGTTTAGTGTACACACAGCTTTAAATCTAATACTGCTACATGATATGCATGACGGCCATTTTTAAATAAAGTGGTGACATGCAGAGATGCATACACGCTCTCTTGTAAAAGCTTACTTTGGCAAAACAGCTCGAAAAAAAAAAAAATGTTTTAAATGTTACATGTGTGTCTGACTAAGTTGGACCAGACCTCTTAATTAGGTCTCCTGAAAAACAAGGAACCAGCTGGGTTTCACGCCAGAGATCCGGACCATGATAAAAACTGTTCCATGTTGGTTTTGTAACATGGGAAAGACTTTTCTTTCCAAAGAGGGAGCCTAGTTTATGGCTCGGTAACACAGAAAAAAAAGTTAAGGAAGGCAGCGGAGCGGGTGAGAAACGTTGAGAAAGGGTGGCAATAGTGAAAAAGAAAGACAGAATGATAAAGACAGGCTGACAAGAGTGAAAAAGTAATGGTGTAATGCCTCTGTAATGAGTTAAGTCCTGTAATCGCTGGCTGTGGAAAATGCCAATTGCTGGTCTGGTTTTATGTGGCCTGCTCTACACTAAACCCTGCAGAAGTATTTATGTGTAGTGTGCGTGCGTGTGTGTGCAAATGTGTGTAAGATGTCGTCAAGGGTGATGGCAAAAGGCCAGACGGGCGAAGTGAAGCACTTTGCCACATTTAAAAACTTCAGCTTCTCATTGCTGTTGCCAGGTTTGACGCAACCAAGAGGACCAAGATTAGTTTTCCCCCCCAACAACCGCTCTCCCTAGGAGGACATCTCCGAGCTCAATGCAAAGACATGAGACTGCGAGCGCAATAGTAAGAGCAAAAGGAGATGCAACTTTCTCCCAAACTCGCCGTGTCCAGGAATGGACAGCTGCAGAAGAAGCAGTGGTCCCTCGGTTCTGGTCCCACGCTTTCCAAGTGGGTTAAACAAACACAACAGCTGGGCCCTGGGCAAAAACTAAATGCTTTTCTTTTGACACAGGAAGAAAAAAAGGTCACTGGAGATCCTTGTCCTGACTTCCTGCAAATAATCTGAGTGAGAGAGGTGAAAGAGGAAGAAATGAGAAGAGATGACCACAGTGAGGGAGGGAGGACACAGATAGAGGGACAGAGTCACATGCAGCATGCAAGAAGAGACACAGAGGAAGCTGTTTGGCCGGAGTTCAACAGCGCTCTCGTTTGTCACACTTGGACAGAATTTGTAGGTCAAATTAGCATGGAGGGGCAGAGAGGCTGCGAGGGAGGGAGGAGGGGGAGACAGAGATGTGCAGGCCAAGCAGATAGGCTGCTCTTCATTACTCAGGCCTCCCTACACATGGGACTGAAGGACGGTGGGGGGAAAAGGGGAACGGAGGACAGGAAAGTGAACAAAAACTAAAGACGAAGGGCTCTCTGGCAGTGCATTCCATTTTTCAGTGTGCGCTCTCGTTACAACTGACACTGGGGCAAAGGCTAGACTTAAAACAAATAAATACAACCATATCTGGAGAGAGTTTGGGGATTTGCTGCTCCTCCTCTGATCCATGTTAAAGGGGCCAAAGCACAACACCGTACAGTGGAGCTTTATGTCACACTCTTTATGGCACCCTGAAAATGACTTCTCCAGCTTTGAGACTGGTGGGAGCCTTGTGTGATATCCATAAGGTACAGTGGTACAGTATAGGTTCCTTCGCTGGGGAATAAACTGGTTTTACAACAGTTTGACTTAAACTCCACTACTATAACACTATTTGACATTATCTGAGTCTCTGATTTAAAAACCAAAACTGTTAGTCCATGAATAGTGCTGAATCATGAGAAGTAATTAAAGTAAAGTAAGTAAAGATGTTTAATACACACGTGAATATTGCAAAGATGATATCAGAGACTCCATTCGTAATCACTTACTCAGTGTTTCAATTTTGTGTTACTGACATACATTTCTATTTCCATTGCCACTGTCAGAGAGCACATGCATCCACCAAGGCTGCAAAAAAACACTTAAATTAGTTATTTTAACAATATAAGAAGATTTAACTGTTTTCTTTTTCTTCTTGATATTCTGCTGCCTTAGAGGTACATAAAATCGAGGGTTTCAGAATTAAAACAAAAAGCCCAGGCATTACAATTAGTGTTGGATGTTCGTGATGTATCCATCTAACCACTTTCAGTCTCTCTTATCTTCTGCCTTCACTGAAAAAAAGAAATAAGTCTGTATATAAACCACAGGTGCTTTTCCTGTATCCATATGGCATAGATATTATATATGTTTCCTTGTTGACAGTATGTGGTTTATTTGGTGTCCTGTAGTTAATTCAAACCAGGCTGAGCTGGACTGGACTGTGTTGAGGGGGAGCAAATGCTCACGTGTGTGTGGACTAGGATTCTTCTCATACACAGAGAAGCTATTCTTTACCCAGTCTGCAGCACCACTGACACACAGACCTAGAAACACTGCGAGCATAATCAAATCGCAAACTGCATCGACAGAGGCTCAGAGAGAGAGAAGAAGAGGAGGAGGAGGAGGAGGAGGAGGAGAGGGAAAAACCCCAGCAAGTCGACTCCTTTTGGCAATAAAAAACAGCATTGTGCTCTGAGACGAATCCTCAGCAGTGACGTCTTTGCCCTGAAATTTAACTGCAAAAAAAATCACTTATTGAGGCAGCTGTGAGTTTGGCAGACGAGAGCTGGGGGTTGCAGAGGCACAGTGGACCCCCTGCCCATTTCCCCTCCTGTCCTCCCCTCCTCCCACTGCTCCTCCTCTACCGGAGGAATTCACATTCCCACTTTCTCTTCATCTCTAATCAGTTTATTTCTTTCCATTGCCTGTCTGAATCCTCTGATTCTCTCTCACTTTCCTCTCCCATGTTTCTTACTGTCAGAAGCAATAAACAAGCTGAGGTGTTTGTGTTAAATAGTAGAAAAGGCTATATATTAGCTCAATATCTAGGCCCAAAACAAAGGCAGCATTTAGACAAATAGTCCCAGTTCTCTCCTGCACTCACTCAACAGCTGGCTCCTATTATAGATTATGGTTCTCTTTCAAAAACCTACTTCTTCTCACCTAGCAGATCCCCTCTCCGTTCTCTCTGAGAAACTTTTTTTGCCCAAACTTTTTTCTGCCCAAAAATACAACTGAAAAACTGAGCCTCCCATCCTGTAAGACAAGCTTTTTTCTTATGGAGAGCCCTCAGCGACAAGACTGCAAACACGTCTGCACCTCAACATAAGAGTTTAAGACACCACATTTCTGTCAGCTCTCTCCACTGTAACAGTGTATGGAGGACGGAAACCCAGACGAGTATCTGGTGTAAACTATCAGTGATGCATGGACATATACAGTAGACAGCACAGTGAAGGAGTGGGGCGGGAGGTACGGGGGCTGGGCAACCCGTCTCTGAGGGGCCCTGGGTGTGGTGGGGTCGTACTGGACTGGAAAAGCAGGAGTAAAGATCCACTTTTCCCTTGTCTCATTCCACCACAGGCTCAGATTGTCTCAGTCTCATGGGGACTGTAGTGCAAGAGGAGAAGTCCCTCTTCCAGCTCTGAAAAAAGAAAAGCTTGCTAAAATATATTTGGGAGTATAGTAGAAACCATGAGAAAACCCAGAACTGGCAAAAACAGCATCAACTCATTAATGTGTTCAAAATATATGTGGTTGGATGCCAGACAGAGAAACAGAATCCATACCCTCACTTCAGAGCAATTACCTAGATGTAACGCCACTAAGTGAAATGAGGCGACACAACAGTATGGGAAATTAACACCAAGTCGCATGGTTGTAAAATTTTTGTCGTGGATAACGGATCTGCCTACTCAACCGGCCACTTAGACAGACTGTTCTCCGTTCTAAAAAGCTATTTGTCTGGTGAAACAGTTAAGAGTGGCTCTTGAATTATAGACTCCACCTGCCACTGTGCTCCATTAATCTGGCTCGCTGCCATACAACACAAACACTGTGTTTTCTGTTTTTTTACATCAAGCACTGTGTCTTAAGAACCAACAGAGAAATTCTCAATTCAAATACTTTCAACTGTGATGTGATCAGTAAACTGCTGACGTGGTCATCTACAAGATTCTTTGTTAAAGCGACAATTCTTTGGATTCTGGTGCAGGAAAAGAGGTCAGATTTAAATCCAGAGGCTCTGTCCTTCACTGGTGTCCTTTCGCCCACCACGGGTGAACAGAGGAATGTCTTGTGGCGACTAGGCCACTGTGACTGGACACAATTCTGCTGAGGATAGCGGCAGCCAAAGCCAGAGCCAGAGAGGGGGAGAAGTGTTGTGTTGTCAGTTGCTCTGTGCAGTGTGTAGGCCATCACAGCCCTGTCTTTCTAAAACACATACAAAGGCAGCTCTGACAAGAGGAGAGACAGGCAGTGAGGGAGTGGCACATGAGAGCACCCCTTTGGACGACGGACAGATAAAGTGCCTTTAAAACGGATGGTGCATGTGTTGTGGTGAACAATGAAAACTCGATGGAAATACAAATTAAGCATTAGAAAACGTATCTAAAAAAAGAACTCGATATGAATAGGTTTTTGGGAGACTTCCTCTAATGGAATTAGGCACCACTTCCTCTTGATCTGTAGCCCGTCTCAGGTTCCAGCAACACCCTCCAATCAAAGCAACACAAAGATATCTAATCGGCCAATCAAAGCCTGCACATGAAAAGAGAGCGAGCTCCAGCCATGCCATGTCTGAGGCAAAGATACTTCTGGGTAACAGATGGAGCTGATATCCTATCCCCTGAGTGGCCATCTGTGTAAAAACATGCAACACAACATACACACCCCTCTTGTTGTGGTTTGTCTACAAGGGCACCGTTTCCTCTGGGCTCTTTTCTTGGTACAGAGGTTGTGTTTGCCCAGAGACAACTTGTGGCAAAAAGCCTGGACTGGCACGCACTCGATCTCCACCCACAACAGGGCATAACATGATACAAAAACAAGAAAACTCTTTAGGTAGTGCTGCTCAAATGGTTGCATGTAAAACCAGATAATTTAAGGACATAAGCTGTGGACTAATTTCACTTACTATACTAATGCAGACAGCAATATTCCAGTATTCAACACTCAGATTAAGCAACTGCCATTTAAACACAACAAATGGGGATTTCTTTCCACCCCAGGAGAACCCTGTTTGTGCTGGCTCTCCCGTCAGAATGTATCTGTAAGAGAATCAGTCAAAGCACTGTTTATTTTGCCATATTTCCACTAAGATAACCACAAGGATGAACCACAGTAGCAACATCACAGACTACTAGGGTTTGAGGCTAAACACTGATGTTGCAACATACTGTGGAGGGGCCTCTTGGGGTCATTATTCAGGATATGCCCCATAGCATGTAAATGAGAAAATTATGGGAATATTGTTATAGTTCAGTGAGAAAACTCATATTAAAAAACTAACATTGGAAAACTGCCTTATTTAGCGTAAGGGCAACTGCTGGACATCCCAGTTTATGTAAACATAGTCAGTTAGGGAGTAGGTCATTACCTCCTCCTGCGAGGCATAGTGAGGGTCTGCAGGGTCCACCGACCAGTAGCAGTAGTCAAAACAAAACTCCAGAAGCTTCTCCCTTGAATCCACAGCACCATCTGTACGTCCATCCAGCTTCAGGGGGGAAAACAGAAGAGTACAGCACATAAGATGGAGTACAAGTACTTTATTAACAGCAAATACTCTATTACACTGGATACTGAAATACAAAGTATTAAGACAACACAGGCACACAAAAAGTAGAGCAAAAAGAAATACAAGCTATATAAAACTTCCCAGTGATAAAAGCCAGGTACTATATTTTTTGTTTATGGGACTGCTATGGTGTAGAATTGCAAGCAAGCAGTTTCCATTCATTAGCAACACATCCTCCTCTAGTTCTTTAGTTGCCTCACTGCATTAACACTAAACACCTTTCTGCTTACTGGGAGTGAATCTTGAACTGAGGAAAGACAGCACAGCAGCATTTAGACTTGCCCAGGCACAACTGCATCGGAAAACATTACTTCTAAATCACTGCATTCAACCTCTCTGAACTATTGAACCTTATTGTTCTCACTGTAGGCACCTGACTTTGAGGGAAAATGTTCCCTCTGATACCATTTTTATCTCCAGTTTGTGATGTTCAATGTATTCCAGGAGTTGTTTTTTTTTATATATTTATATATATATTTATATATATATATATATATATAGTGAATCTCTTCTAATGGAACCAAACATACTCAATCTATTTGCATACAGAGGAAATGATTGTAAGTGGCCAAAATGTTTGTGAGCACTGGGGCAAAAAACCTTACTCTAAACACAACATGTATTTACGCTGCATTGAACCACGGTCTATTGTGGTAACTGCCAAAGGTGAAAGTGGCACCTGTAGCACTTTAATTTTAGTCATTTTTTCAATTAAAATCGGTAAATAAAAGTATTATCCATGTGCACTACTTCTTTGTGTACGTTTTATGTGTACCCCATCACATTATCAGTGTCAGTGCAGTGAGTCACACAGCTTCTTTTAACAGCACGAAGAAGTGTTTCTCTTAAAGCCCTCTCTCTTTAATTCTGAAGACGAAGACTAACAACTAAAACCTTACTCCGCTGTAATTGCACTGGAAGATATTTGATGTGGCATCAGGGTATTTATGTTAACATTTGAGTGCAGGTTCAGTTGCAAAAGCAGCATCGTTGGACCTGGTGAGGACCCTTCAGCGGATGCTTTTTGTCACTGTCGTACTTCAAACCAAGCAGTCAATTATCCAAATTATGATTCCCCTCAGACATTTATGTAAATAGCCTTTACTTTCTCTAACTGCAGCATTAGGCGGCACTAAGCTCTGGGTATCAATTTTGTTCACAGCAATTGGCTTGCCTGAAAACATGACTGTTTAACCCCTCAGCACTTTTAGGAAATTCAACAATGGCCTTGTAGTATAAGGGATTAGCCAATAGCAACACAGGCCACAGGCAGCTCTCCTGGCCAACAGAGCTCCAACATCTGATAAAGACGTGTTTTACAACTTATCAAGTCAGGGAAAACTGACTAGTTATAAAACATTACCCTTTATCTTTTTCTTGTTTCAGACTTTTTAAATTTAGTTCAATGGGCCTTTATAGCTTATATTGCCTTCTGTTTGTTAGTCTGCCTCATGTTTATTGTGCTTTAAAATCCGTCCTTTTTTCTTTCCGTCTCAGATCCTCCAAAACTGTCCCACTTTCCATAAATAATTATTCCCATGAGACCCACAAGAGCCTCGGAGTCTTGATCCTTTTCCATGGCAGAGGGAGGCCATATGTGGTTTCTCTCTGTCACATCATTTGTAACAGATTCTCTCCTCCCCCACCCAGCTTCTCTCTGTACGTCAGCATTTAAAAATCCAAATGTATACAAAAGGGGGCGATTCGGTAACTAACAATCTGATCGAGAATGGTCTTCATATACGTGCAGCCACATTGTAGTTAAATATGAGTTTTGACATTTGGTCTAAGCTTCACTTTCTTTTGTCTTTTTGTATATTTACATCATTTGTCAACACTGGAGGCAGACATTTTGTTGCACGATTCCCAACAAAGCTTTTGCATCTAGACTCTTCAAATACACAACGTTTCATCATCTCAATAGCAGCTAATGCAAACATTCATAATGAAAACCAGAGTGTAACACCTCCAGGCTGTCCGCAGGCAACGCAGCTCAACTAACCAGACAGGTCTACTCAGCCATCTGACACAGCAGGTTGGTAACTTTTGTGAAAGTATCAGCTTACAAGACGGTGTAGCTCACACAGTAATCATTTCCAAATGTGCAGAACCTCTTTAAAAACCTAAACTAATAACTAAAACAAAAACCTTTTTCAGTATAACACAACTTTACAAACTCTTCTTATGTTGCAAATAGGACTAAAAAGCTCTGGGGCCACATTCTCTGTTAAAATACCTAAACTAACACAATTTAAAGCCATTGGATTGCATTTCATTTACTACTGTTTATGTGTGGCTCTCTTTCAAGCATCTGAAGTATGCTGTAGTTGTGTTGCTGGTTGTATTGCTGTGCAGAGTGTCAGTGCGTGCGTTTGACAGGAAGGGTCTCCCAATCGGTGTGTGTGTGTCTTTTTGTGTGTGCGCGCGTGTGTGTCAGCTCGACACATATAATAAACAACAGTGACATCAAGGAGGAAAAGGCTGATCCAAGTCTGTAAACATCCTGTTGCTCTGATTAATACAATCTACGCACTACTCCCAATTCACCCAGTCCTACCAACAAAACACACACAATCACGAGTATTGAATATACCTGTGCAGCAGTCTGTGGGACTTTCACACCAAAATACTCACCTTTACATTTCGGATCTTCACAAACTTGTCCTCCACCTGTACGGCGAGCCTTCCTCCGTCCGCACCCTCCCTGCGAGCAAGAAGAGAACGACACTGAACCCTCTGCACGTAAACATCCATATTTGGAAGTGTATGTTTATGAGAGGTGGAGGAGGGATGCTATCACTATCGATCAGTGTCTCGCACCACAAATGCGAACCGGACAGGGATTTAACAAAGGTTTCACTTTGGATTCAACACCCTACGGACGGATTCAAATAGGTTTAAAATCCTCTTTTTTTTCGGATGCAGATATAATTCAGAGGGTGTCCAGATAGATTAAGGCTAGTCCCACTTGACTGGAGGCCATCACATGACAGTTAACACAATGAATCTGTTTGTGTGCGCGTGCGTGCGTGCGTGTGTGATGCATGAAATCGCCACCAGTTTCAGATTCAAATGAAAACAGACCCTCGCACACTCCAGAGACTCTCTCTGATGAGGTTGCTCGGGCTGTTTCCGCAAAGTCGAGAGCACGGACGACTGTGTGTGTGTGTGTGTGTAATCTGGACCAGTGTGTGTCCCCGCATGTGTTTAAAACAAGGTCAACTCGGCTATGTGTGCTTCAGCAGCTGGACCGAGCACATCTGATGCAACACACGCGGAACTGGAGGCAATCACAACATGGAGCTGAGAGAATTTCGATCTCCGGGAGCGATAATGACGGCGAATGCTGCCTGCAGTGCTGAACGCCCCGTCTCTGCGGTGGGTTAGGGGGCTGACGAGGGGGCTGTTGTAATCGTCAGCTCTCCCTGCGCTTCCCCACGCGGGACTCATTTCGCCAACCCCAGCAGTGGCCCAACCCAAAACCACCAACCTTCAATCTCAGGCTCTAACTAGCATGCATGGAGAGGAGGTTGGGGGGGGTTGGAAAATAGTAAACCTCATAAAACTGTGTTTTGATACAAACCTAAAACGGGCAATTTCACAAGTGGGCTGACATGTTTTTTGCACATGTGAGAGGCTTCTCGTCTTCTAAGAATCCTTTTGGTCAATTAAAACAAAGAGCAACGTGCTGCTTTACCTGGCCGGATGAGAAACACAGCTAACCGGGCCGGTGTTAATGTTATCTCTGCCACACAGCAGGCCCTTCTTCAAATATGTAAGTAAGGAAATACATCCTTCGTTTCACAAAAGCAGAAAAGAGCAGGGGACAGTGAGACGGTCCTAAACTGAAATCAGGAAGCCCAGATTTGCATGACAGTGAACAGTATGTATAAGAAATTCTTTGGTTATGCAAAACACCAGGAAGACTGGTTGAAAGAATCATTGTCCAGCCCTTCATAGTCTGAATAATGCTTTGTTACGCTACTATAGTGGCCTTCAGATTAAGCACCCCTTCAAAACATCCTGCAGGACTTCAATTTAATTCAATGCACTACTATAGGACTTACATGTACTATATCTCCAGACCCTGAAGACCTGTGATTCAACATGTTGTAGCAATCTGCCAGTTAATGTAAAGGGCTGCTCCAGTGGAGCAAGGCAACTTTTACAACCCTCCTGTGTCGCTTTGCTACTTCAACAGCAGATTTTACAGCACTGTTTTTCCATTAATCCCTTTCACTAAAGAAAAGGGATTAATGAGCAAATAAGTATTAGGTCTGTTTTGTATATTAAACTTACAGTAAAATACCTTTTTTTTAAATTTAAACTTAAATAGGTTGGCCAACAGAAAAAAAAGCCAAAAGCTTTCTTTTGTTTCATGTTATGAGTTTAACCTCTTAAACCCCCGTTACACCAGTGGACCATTCATCACAAACTCGATCTGCACAGGAAAACAGTGTTAAAACCTTCAGAAGTGTATTTGACATTTTAGAGGAGATCCCAAAGTTTCCAAAGATACCGATGCCAGGCTGAACTGTGGGGAAGACACCTTTAGCATTTCCATTTTAAGGAACGGTGCAGCCGTGAAAACACCGACTCTTGGGTTGAACACATAATGTACATTACACAGTCAATGGATGAACATGAGTGTAAACGTCACATGGCTTCAATTAAGAGCTGGAACAAGCTGACACAGAATATACGGTGCTGTATGATACTGTAAGACTATGAGATGGTGTAGTTACATTATTCCTGTACAGGATTACTGGACTGATTTAAAAACATTAACTAACTCATTCATCATATGGGCAGAGATGTAAACAGTGTTTGAAATACATCATAATTAATCATTGGCTTATGTTCATTATCATTATGTGTAAGCAAGAATAGTAAACCCTCATTAATTGACTTGATTTAAACATTTATAAAAAATCTAATTATCGTCCGTAAAAGAATAATCTGTCCATTAATTAATTATATAGTCTCTTTCATTTTATGTTATATTTCTTGTTGTTCCTTCAATTACTGAAGTTTTGCTCGTCATGTTGTCAACCTCCAAATGTTTAACTCTTTCTTTATATATCTGTACATATTTACATTTTACTGTTGGGTATGCAAGCTATTGTTCCCTTACTGAGTTTGCAATCTACATTGGTTCAATAAAGAGGGCGAGAAAATTTATTTCTAACACCATTGACCAAATGCTAACTGGCTGCACTTTAAACCTAACTTGTGTTTTTGTACATTACTCAGCACTACACACACACACACACACACACACACACGATGCTTAGTCAGACCACAGTACTGACAGCCACAGTTGTCATTATTCACCATGTGCACCAACTAACTACCACTGCACAGTCCTATCAGCGGGTTTTTTCTGTTAATAACTTTTTTTCTGTCAATAACTTTTTTCTGTTAATAACTTTTTTCTGTTAATAACTTTCAACATGAAGCTAAATGGAGTGCTAACACAAAAAACACACATATTGTTTGTATTGCAGCAGCCGAACTCCCCATATAATAGCTGGTATACTCCTGACATGAAGTGACACATGGAGGCAACCTCTAATAAAGCCCCCTTGTTTTTTTTAATTAATAATAAGTTGTTTTTTAAATTAGCGTTAGTTAGCTCACATTATAACTTACCTTGCGTTGGGAGGACGGACTCGAACGGCGACTTTAACGTTTGCCATGATGACTTACAGTTGACCAGTGTTTCCCCACTCCGAGCATACTGAGTCCTCTGGCATTTTTTGGCACTCCGGTGAAACTTAAAACAGCGAGAGCGGGAGGGAACCGTCCTTGCCATCCGCCGTTTTCAGGTCATCGGCACCGGCTTCGGTCCAAAGGATCCAACCGCCCACCGACGGTCCGCTGAAACTCCCCAACAGAAGAACTGAAACTTCCTGCTGGACCCAGAGGGGGAGGAGAGGGGGAGGAGAGGGGAGGGGATGCTGCTGGATACTCCTCCTACTACACCATATTCAAATCTTTTTTTTTTCTTTTTTGGCTGTTATTATTTAAATCCAGACAAAGTTTAGAGTGTATGTATATTTTTTTTAAACTTATGTTTATTGGCTCATTTGAATAAACATAACAAAACATACATACACCTTCCCCTCACATCCACAGTAACATGACATTAAATATAAGTGGTTAAGGACAAGTGGGAGAACTAATAATATAAATAGAGATGAACGACCTTATATATACATATTTAATTTGTATTTTGTACACATACATATGTATGTGAATCTACCATTGCGGATGAATAAAGTATCTATCTAATCTAATCTAATATACATGTGTACATACATTAAACATGATAGAGACACTGTAATTAACTGTAATTAATTAAAAGTCACAGCTATATGATTAAGTCATTATCATCCTATTCACAACTATATCACTCCAGCCCAGTTTAGTAAACTGATGACCCCTATAGTGACATATTCTATGGATATAAAATATAAATAATAAAAATCACATTATCAAAAGTATCAAAACTGTACAATTAACCCAAATAGTGAACTCACTAGGGATTTTGAGGACATTATTTTGTGTTTAATTAACCTTTTATGCAATCTTCTGTCTGTTTTATCTATTTTTTATAATTTTTAACAATCATAAATACTTAATATGCTTCTTTTTGGACAAATTCAGTGTTTTCTTGTCCCTGATGTTTGGCCATTGTTCTATTAGACTTATCTATGTACTTTTCTTCACAGAAGTGAACCAAATGCTGATATATAGTCCTACTTTGCATATTTTTACTACTTAAAATCAAGAAAGCCTTGCGACCCCCCCCAAGAAGCTTTGGCGAACCCCTAGTGGGGGTCCCGACCCCCAGGTTGGGAACCGCTGCTCTAACTGTTGTACTATTTACAAGCTAACTTGGAGTGACTGTGGTGAAACCAATCCTTGTCCCTCCACAGGCATCTACACAGTTGAGATTATACTTTATTTTATTGACTGATAATAACCTGATATGTGGATTGTTTGTGATAAATTAACAAGCAAATTAGATTTTTCTAGCAATTATGAAAACTAAAATCTGTGAAAAACAATGATGACCAAGACACGAATCAACAATTACATCAGAATACATCTTTATTGTTATATTTTAAATTTTGTGGCAACATAAAAAATATTTCAATTTAAAAGCAGCAGGGAGTACAGCGCTCGTTCAACATGAACAAAAACAATCACAAACGCAGTCTTGCATTCATGAGATAGACATGCAATCACTAGTAGTGGCGGTCAAAGGCAGTGTGTGAAAGTGCTATACTAAAATTAAGACATTTATTTACTGTAGTAGGACTAAAAAACCAACACATATTTCAGCTCATTTTTAGTAGCGGTCTGATCAAGTGTTTCTTGACAAACTATGGCTTGTTTAATAGAATCTTACATTTAAAACCTGGGACCTTTATTTTAGTTTTAATGAGCCGAGTTACAGAAGATACTCAGTTTGAGTCCATGGCTCCAAAAAGTCACAAATACCCATTTTGATGCCGACCCTTCTCCCATGTCTTTGTTATTTCTCTGCTACAGCCTTGACTCTTTGAAATGCTTGATCTACAAGTATTTCCCTTCGGACACAATCACCAGGTTCGCTTGCAGGAAGGATCAACAGATCTAAGGTGGGAGACGGTGTGGTCCCTGGCTACTTCTGAGTGGCAGGGCTTTCTGCGTCTCACCAGCGCCTTAGCAAAAGAGAAGAGGGATTCATGAAAGGCTGCTGTCACTTCACAGGTGGAGAACAAAAGTCTGAAGCTTGCTAGGAACAGCTTTGATGGGCTGTGGCAACTCGAGAAATAGTCAACAACAAGAAGTCACCCAGAACTGTCTCTTTCTTGAACAACACACTGACAGATGTGACATAAAACACTGTGGTGATCACACAAAGGTGCAGTGGGATACTGGGTAGCATTATTGTTGTCATGTAGCTCCCTCTACTGTCTGTTGAGAGACCTGCAGCATGTCCATGCGGCTTTGCAACTCAGCCAGAGGCAAGGGAGATTTAATACTCTGTGACTGCAGCTGAAAATTTTCTATCAGCTTCTGAAATGACACAGAAATGAGAGAACAAAGTGAGCAAGAGAGGAAGAGAGTAAAAAGAGGTCAAATCCCGAGTAAAAGAAATAATTCCAAAGGAATACATGATGACAAGAACCCTCACCGCTGGCAACGCCAAGTTTGTTAGCTTCTTCCAATGGGATATGACCTCTTCTTCACTCAAGACTCCTCTGTCAACCAGCTTTCTCACCAGGAACAGGTAGTTATTCCACTAAAAAGACAAGCAAATGCATTACAAAGGATTAAAGACTACAGAGTCAAACAACTTTCAAAGAAATTAGCAATCACAGAAAAGGTTCAATTTAAATTTAAAATGAAAGAATGAAAAAAGGATGTGAAATATTTAATTTATACCCTTCTCTTTTCTCTCCTTTCTTGTCTGTCTCTATACTATCAGCTATCCAATTTAGGAAAACAATGCATGATGCAGAATTTGCATTATGTAAAATATCTGCTGTGGAAAATAAACTTAAAATTTTAAGATTAAAGAACAAAAAGAACTTTGATACAAAAGTGACCAAAAAACTCAGTTTGAGCACCATCTGATCCAAACACTTTTAATCTTAAACCAATTTAAAACAGAGAGGAAAATAAACAGATCATGAAGATTATGCCAAATATCTGTGTGAAAGCAGTAAAGTTTCATATATTGTGTCTATAGAGGGCCATGCACATACAGCAGAGGCATTCTAGGGGAATATTCTATAAACATATAGGCAAAAAAGGTAGTAGTATCCTTAATTCCTCTTCATCAGTCATAGCAGCAGTGGTAGACGTACCTCAGTGTCGCTGGCCTTCAGCACAGCAGTGACAGTGAGTGGGGTGAAGAGCAGGTGGAGAGGTGCGGAGGAACAGCAGTCTCCTTCCCACAGCTCAGCAAGCTGCTCCAGCAGCGCTCTGACAGGAGGCTCTGACCCTGAACCAGGACCCACAACAACCCTATCACCTCCGCTGCACCCTGACAGAGACAGCACCGGCAGCTCTGCAGACACTGAGCACATACACACAACATGCACTCGGGTCTTTTACACAGTACAGCATCTATATTTCTATTTCAGCTGCAAAGGCCAGTTTAAATAACGTTGTTTATGAAGCAGTGGCACTTATGGGAATTAACCAGTTTATAGTTGAACAGTCTCTTACCCAGTTTGCAGGCCAGTAGGACGGTAGAGTTCAGTAGCATCTGCTCCGACAAGACAGTTGAGAACTAAGCAACGAGATAAGAAGAACAGAGTGTGATGAATACTGGCAAAGAACCATAAATCCACACGTGTTGTTTTGTTGCACTTGTGTGTATCTTGTACCTTCCTGCAGGCCAGAGTGTCTCCCACTCTCTGTAACAGCGTTTTGATCTGAGAGGCGGTAGGCAGTTCCTCGTCAGTCCTGGGGCCCACTGCAATGCTCAGCAACTCCTACATTAAAAGTTAAAGTTCACACACAGAAGTCATTCACTTTTTCTTCAGCGAGAGGTTAGATTTATTCTTTGAAGATGCAAGTTGTTATTCATGCATTTCAACCCCAAAACTCATGAACAAAAGCAAATGTTTTACCAAAAAGAGCTACATTGGCAGAATAACTAGTTCTACGTGTATTTTAGCGCTGTTTACTCTAATGCAGGCATACCTTTATCTCAATGAGGATGTCAGAGGGCAGTGAAGCACTGTGTTTGCAGTGTGGAGGGCAAGATGTCACTCTGTCACTTCCTTGTTTCCTCTTGGGGGTAGTCGATTGCTCCTGGGTGACCAGCTCAACCACGGCCCCCACCTCCCCAGAGTCTGGAGCCACTGGGCTTCCCACGGCCTTCATCACACGATCATACCTGCTCTTCCACTCTCGTCTTATCAGGGCTGATGGTGAGAAAACAGCACGTGTTAGATAGATGTCCTCAGGGAACCTTAAATCACACCACTGTTTTTTTTTTTTTCCCTTTTCATCCACAAAAGGCAATGATGTTCTGTAACATGATCCCAGCAGCACTGAGAGCTTTAAGGTTCAGTCCTTATAGTATCATCTATCCCTACAAAGTTTCAGTCTGTCTAATAAAAAAGGCCTGCTGTGGCATGAAAATCAACTTGCAGCAAGAATAAAATAGGAATCCACTGATTTGCTTCGTTAGATGGGTGCCTCCCTGCATTAAAGTTACTTGACATGAAAAATTCATTACAGTAATGTCTGGTTTTAAATTATAAGTTTGATTCTTGCAGATAAAATAACCAACAAGGACAATAATGTCTCATTAGCTGTAGATTTCATTTCTTTAATATCGCACTGAAATGGGTGTGTTTGGTTGCATTGGAAAATGGAAATAACCCATTTAGAGTCTGAAGAAATTGCATTTAACACAGTAGCAACATGAGAAAACCCAACCATGCTGCATTAACTAGCTACCTGTGATGTTGGCCGAGAGCCAGCTGCAGGCTTTTTCTGTTGCAAGACGCTCGGTGATGTTTTCAGCTGTGTTCAGGACCTGCAGAGAGTGTGAGTAAGAAACATGGGAACACACACACACCTACAAGTTTCTAGTGTGTTTTTTCTCTGTTCTGCATTTATAGACATGGTTTTTCTCTGTAAACCACATAAATCTATGTAAAACTTTGTTAGAAGTGATTTAGGAATTATAGTTTGACATGTCATTATATACTTTTTGCATGGTGATTTTGTTCAGTACTTACAGCAGGGGAGGTCTCATCGGGAAGCAGAATTCGTATGGCTTCAGGACTCTTCTCACAGCAAAACCTGATAATTCACATAAAAAAGTACATTACCATAGAGAAGAGATTACCACACAGAAGTGAAATGCTAATGGTGTGTGACGAGAAACCCAGAAGGCAAGGCT